TGAAAACTAGAGTAGGTTCCCGTGCTTGTTGACTTGGGCTGAGAATGAGATCAATCAAGGATGGTGATTGAAGACAGTTTTTGAGTGGTGGATGATTGAGTTTGAGAGCTCTGTACAATGAATGAGGACTTGAGAAATGGTCCTGTACGGTGCAAGGTACGTTGTGAGATTTCAGGATAAGTTCACAAATGAAATGATAGACCGCAAAAGTTGAGACGGAATGTGATTTCTAGAGCAAGAAATGTGATATTATCAAATTCTTGAAAAGTGCCAAAAAAACACTTTTTTCAAGCATTTTGTGATTTCTAGAATGCTTGTAAATAAGAAATCAAACACATTTCACAGAATGTGATTTATCAACATTCAAAAGAACACTTTTTCACAAAAAAGCGCTTAAGTGAACGCAGCCTAAGTGAACATGCCCTTACTGTGTGTAATCTGGGTGGTCTGTCATGCTTTACCTTGGGCTGTTTCCAAGACCCGGCTCTGCGGGATGCTTTCTGCTTGTTCAATGTATCAGCAACTGTTTGATTGTCAGTCTGGGCATCAAACTCTGCCCAGAAACTCTATTCTGGCTTTCAATGTACAGTTTTAGACTTGTTAAAGGTCCATCATAATTCTTCTATTTTCAAATTTGTGTTCTTTTGAGTTCAATTCACAGTGGCTCAAATAGATGCTCACATTGGGGTGAGCATGGAAATTTCCTTGTTTTTTTTCAATGTTTGTTCAATGTTACTTCCAGTTTCTTTCCCTTTTCTTTCTGTTTTGTTCCTGCTTGTCAGCTGATTACATGATCAAAAGCAACTGAGCAGATGAACTAGGCCTTACTCAGGCATCATTCCTTAGCCAAGAAGCCTTAGCTCCTTGAAGTCATGGAACAATTTGCCATATAGGCAAGTTCTGAACTCCAAAACTTCACCTTAGTTGAAAAACTTGGAGTCAATCAGGTTGATAGTGGTTCCTGATTGTTTGGAAGCATTTTGGGCCTCAATGACAACCTTGTTCTCCGTATGAATTTTGAAAAGCACCTGTATAACACTTGTTATGCTTATCAAACGCTTCACGCTCAAAAGATCTGACTCAAAACAATGGGTCCATTTTGAGAGAACGGCTGGAGTGTCATCTCCAACCCAATGGTCATCGGGGACTTCCCAAACTATTGGAAGACACACAATTAGCTTGATTTTGTCACTTAGATATCCAAGTTGAAGGGTGGTACTTACGCAAATTCAACCAACCAATCACAGGGGCTGTGTTGGTGTTGTTGACAGCAGTGATATCATTGGTTGATTATGCTTGGGCAGAGGTGGTAAGGCTAGGGTTTGACATGTCCTGTTCAAAATAATCAAAATGATTTAGAGAAAAACACATATGAGAAAAAAATTAACAGATAATAAGATAGAGATATCAAGATCACACGCACTACTATGGTGTTTCTGAAAAAGTGGAAATAGCACTGATTTAGAAGGAGCTTAGATAAGGATTGATGGAATGTGAATCTAATCTAAATACTAAAAAGATGGACCACTTGCATGAGTCCCGGTCTCTCCATTGGTCAGTTCCGTGCTTGGATATCTGGTCCCATTGCTTTTTCCTATTAGTTAGCTTTTCCAGGTTGCCTTTTGCTATTTTACCCTGCTGTTATGCATTTCTAGGTACCATTGAGACTATTTCACCGGCTTGTCTTGTCTTTTGTTTTGCATGTACCCTGAGTCTTTCAAATTGACCTTTACAGTCAAGTCTTTGTCAAGTCCACCTTCATGTATCCCTGAGACGGGTTTATTTAAACATTCAACCGTTTGATAACTTCCTATCCATGCATGGCTTTATTTCACAGTTGTAAGGTGGAGTGAATTCTCCGCCTTCACTGACTCAAAGTAATGGCACAGCTCTCGAGTAAGCATGGGTTTATCTAAACCCCTTGTATCAATTCCTAGTCCAACACTTGAAAGATCAGAAAACCAATATAGCCAATAGAACAATAGAGATAAATGAGAATAAGAGAAAACCACGAAGGAAAAGAATGAGAAACTGTAAAAGGGGGAAGGATCAAACTATCTACTCAACCCCATCTCTATAAACCCATACCCTAACACAATCCCATAATCAATAAGTTACACTTCCACCCTTACAACAGTCGTTTTCAAAAAGCTTGCCCAAATTTGCCCGCAAAACTCGAGCAATTTGGCGATGAATTTGTGGCAAGCTTTTGCAAACGACTGTAATTGTGTATCTTTTATCAAATGGCATCTTTACTCTGCCTGCTCAAGGTTCAGGAAGTGACTTTGAACCCTTCTTAATGGCCGAGTTCTCATGATTCTCCTTTGCAGGCAGTTCGTAACCTTGCGGGTTCCCCGAGCTTGCGAGGATCCAAGTGTCCTACGGGAGTGGACTCATGGCTATGTCGTAGTATGTCGTACATAATGTGAGACGAAAGCGATAAACTGATCAGGTACAGCCATGCAAATTTTTGAAAATGGGTTCCAACTTTATGAATAACAACGAAGCAAACAAATCCACTTATAAGATCATCTAAATACACATTCAGAAATAACTTCAATGGCACCTTCACATAATCAAAACGATTTGACATCTATGCCAATCGAAATCATAGAATTGATTCTTGACTGGGTTCATCAGCTTCCTTCAACTCAGGAAGAAAAGAGCCGTCGCAACTTTTATGATTACCGACGTCTTCGAAAATTTCAGAAAACATTCGATAGTCAGTATATCACCATTCTATCACTCTTTTCACAACCAATTTAACAATCGTTTGCTTCTGTGTGCAATATCAATCCGGACGTGTGATAATATGCTGTGTTGACAATACCACACATTCTTTCACTTTCAAAGATCTTCCTTTGAGCGATCTTCGAGCACTTGCCTCAGTTAATCGTTCATTTCATCGAATATTCAGCCCTTATCTTTTTCAGGTAATGTGCTTCTAATATCATCATCCTATTTTGGAAGTAACTGATTGGATGGTCTTTATAGGGCTTCGATTTCCAAGGTTTCACAGCCGATAGATTAAAGCTCACATATGAAGAAATCATAAAGAAACATTCGGATCCTGTTCGAGAGATCCGTTGGAGAGCCTCACATCCGGTTGATTCAGATGGAAATCTTACTTCACGATCGAAACATTTACTCAAAATCTTGGAATCTTGTCCTTGTCTCATTAACATCGACATCGATCTTGATCCAAATGCTTTTTCACCGGTTGAAGATACCAAACCGTCGGACTCAAAAACCTTTCAAGACTCTTCAACTTCATCACATGACGCGCAAAAACCAATCCCATTTACCAATCCCATTTCTCAACTTACTTCACTTACTCACCTTACACTAAGGACTCCTAGCTGGCACCAACCAGCTTACACCGAAAGCTTCTTAGTAGACCTTCTCTCCAATCTTTCTCAACTACAAAGTTTCAGTTGTACCCGGATAGATGCTGCTCATCCAAAGCCTCTGGACAACCACCAAGCTTGTCAATCTCCACTTGGAATTCACCTTGCTTCACTTACTCATCTTGTTGAGTTGGACTTGGAGAGAGCGGAATGTTTGGATTGCAGTTGGAATCAACTTGATTGGAAAAGCTCACTGAAATCTTTATCACTAGAAAATTGTCATCGAGTCTCAGAATCGTTCTTAGATGGGTTTCTTAAACTTTTTCAATCAACGTTAACGACATTTATATTTGTGGACCTTCCCCAACATAATGGTACCACTTATTCACCTGTGACGCCGGATGAGACATTTCGATTTGAACTACCTAGCTTGACTAAGTTGGAGATCTCAAGTCACTCATCTATCAAATTTGCAAAAGCTTTTCGGAATTCCAAGAACCTGTCGTGGATCTGGATAGGTAATCATCCACTTGAATACCAGCAAGATTTAGAAGACTTGGTCGGAAAACAACTTTGGCCCAGTTTAAAAAAGTTTGAGATGAACAATCACACGTCTTCCTTTCGTAGACAGGTTGCAGGATTAGAATCTTTGTGTCAGAAGTATTCAATTAAGTTGATTTGTCATGTGGATTTTTATAGTGATGATTATGAGGTAGAGGATGATGATGATTTTGAGATTCCCACCTACTATCCATATTTTGAAGGATATGTTCATGATGGCGAGGGAAATTTCTTTGAAATGTTTTGACAAGTATCCTTACGGTGGCGATCGGGATTTGAAGGATAGCTGGAACTGAAATAAATTAAAAGAATGTTATTACTAGGTTTTGGTTCAGGGCATGTTCCATATTGATTCTGGGTAAGGTTATGGAATTTTCTTTTGTGATAAAGCGTGATGCCTACTTTATCCAATTGTTGACATTCAATTCAACACAAGCCATCATGAGATCCTGTATATACTACTTGAGGGTTTTTCTCTCAATTTGATGATTTGGTGTGTATCTGTCATGGACAATCAAGATGATGATAATCTTTGTAAGCTTATCATCAAGATATGACTCAAGCCAAAGCTTTCAAACATTCACCTTAGACGGCAGTAAGGGTAATCTCAAGCGAGTCTAAGGATACTCTTAATTCACTTTTCAGGTTTGAATGACTTCAAGTATCATTCCCTTTGTGAAATGCTATATGTCACAGTCATCTCATCAAAGCGTGGTAGAGCCTTGTTTGTTTTTTTGGACTGACTGATGATGATGATGACTATGATTTGATTTTTGATTCAGTATATATATTGTGAATTATGTCCAAATAAAAACCAAACCAAGACATATATCAATAATAAATAATGATTCCATAATGTCCAGTGATTGAGAATGAGCATGAGAAGGTTCCAAGTTGAAGTAGGATGAGTTATTTCCAGCTGCGCGCACAATTGGGAGTGCGTCCTCCTGCACTATGTGTATGTAGAGGATGCATCTGAGCGCTGACGCCTGTGTGATAAGGGTGCGGTGCGCTCACTGCACTTAGCAATGCACCACACCCAGCGTTGATATCCTCAACTCGATCGTTCCCTCAATTTCAAATGACAAATCGATCATGGCGATGAAGAATTGATCGATGGCTTCAACTCACCTCAACTCGACTCCAGTCAAGTCTATCAAATTCGGGCAGTAAATCAAACCGAAAATGTATCCATTCAGCTCTCAACTTTTAAGGGCACATTATGCGGCCACAGGATGGGAACAAGATAACGAATATTCTCAGCTTACTCAACCTACACGAGGTAAGGTTGCTGTTTATCCTTCATTGATGTTAGATTGATTGAGTTACTGATGATTGAAATTGAATGTTTAGCTTTGCTGGATCTTAATTTTGTTCCAGGATTGAATTTCTCATTAGGAAAATCGCCTGTTTCTCAATTCGCCAACTCAGCTTCTTTGTCGGTTCTTAGTCCACTTTCAGTCATTACCACTTATAATACGCCGGATCATATTCATCATTCACCTACTTTAACTGGCAGTATCTCTTATATTTGTTCTGGTTTACAATCTTTTAAAGTCATTCCAAGTAAATTAGCTTCACTTAGTACTTTTGTGGAAAGTTTTAATGTACCGGCTCCGCCTTATTATCTTGAAGATGCCCAAATGCTTCGTAATTTCAAAGGCTCTGCCAAAAAATATGATCTTGGTGAGCCAATCGTAAAAGGTTTTGGTAGTTATGAACAATTTGATAAATCAAAATCTAATTACTTTTTTTGAAAGATCTTCAGGAAAAGATTATTTAATGTATGGTAGATTACATTTACCTACTTATCGACTAGATGGATTATACACCAAACGAATCTCACCATCACTTCAAGCATTAATAACATTAGTGTCAATTCCTACCAATACACCATTTTCAACACATTTACCATCAGCTTCCGATTCGATTTCATCCAACTCAGTCACACCTTTTTGGAATCTAATGATCGGAATTAATCATCATACAAAAAAATGGTCACAGCAATATAGTTATTCTACTGATGATGGGTTATTTGGTGCAAGAGTCTTACATAATTTTCCAATTAGTAGTAATAAAAGAAACTTTACGACTAATTCTACAAGTTCGTTTGGAACTCAAGATGATAGGAAAAGATTGGTTGATGAAGAAGAAGTTATGGATAATGTTCTCAAAGGTCGTTTCTCGGCTGGTGCTGAGATTTATTTCTCACCTAAAGGTAAATCTGCTGGAGGTAAGTCATAAATTGATTATTTTTTCTATATTTTGATTTATCAATTTATGTATATCAACAAGCTTCTTTGTTTTCTTTTGGGTTTATCAAAACTTATATGAAGGATAACATTCAATTATTTTTTTAGTTTCTACTGGGGTTAGATTTTGTACTATTCCAGATCCACCTGGTGTAGCAATGACTCAACAACCAACTGTGATCACTGCTACTCTTAATCCAATCATGGGTCAAATCAGTAGTAGTTACGGTACTAAAGTGGGTCGTAACGTGGCTTTGGCAACTAGGTATGGTTTTATCCGATTTTGATATTACTATACCTTTTGGAGATAGACTTGGTGCTGATGTGAATGCAAATTGGTCAGATTCGATTTCAATGTATTTTCTTTTGAGTCAGATATCACTTTTGGGGGCGAATGGCTTCAAAGACCTTCCAGTTCAAAGATTGCTTGTCTTCCGGAAGGAATTTCAAATTCTGATTTCCTTGATGCTGAGCAACAATTTCAACAGCAGTTTGATTCTTCTAAGAGTTCAGCTGTGAAAGATATAAGTGGGTTGACTTCTTCATTTTGGAAGACTGTTAAAGGTGATGGAAATACTTCAAGTATGCTGAAAGCGAGGTTTTCACCCGTGACTGTAAGTTCTTTTGATGAATTGTGTGGTTTTATCTGGGTGCTTAATGGTCTTGATACTAAATCTTGTTTTTCCTTTTTTGTAGGGGTTCACTGTTATGTGGGAAGGTAAATGGCAAGAATGTTTGATTGGATTAGGTTTAAATTCTGAATTTTTAGTGCCTCGTTCTAGTTCTCACAGAGCTGGACTTGATTGTTTACAACCTGTTATTAAAGGTGTCTTTTTAGAACTTCAATATAACACTACTTCGATTTGAACTGAGAGGAATTTTGAACGATATTACGCTCTGTAAAAGACGATACTTACTTACGGGTTCAGCTCAAGTCAAAATTTTAGGAAGCTGTTATGCTTCTGATCCACATCTGTGAGTAGAACATTGAGTGGATGGATTACTGGATAACAAGATATGCTCATGATGTTAAATAACCTTTAAACTACTTTCTCGTGAAAATGTGGAGATATGAGTACATTAGATGATCAGGACAAGTACAAGCGATGAAGTAGCGGCAAATGATAAAAAGCTGGAATGAAATGCATTAGAAATACAAGATAAGGGAAGACGAAACTTGCAATAAACAAGAGATATACAAACACAAGATTTTGGTACAATTTTGATCAAAATGTGTGACAGAGTGGACTGATCAGACCATCTGCATCACTTTCTCCATCCAGTAAACTTTCTCCATCACCTGCTAGAACTCCAGGCCTTTTACATAACTCTGATAGGAAATCTAGCGTGTCCATCATTTCTGATCCTAGTGGACGATAACATGCACTACGTTGACCTTTATATGACGATGCTGGTGTAGCGCTTTGACCCGGTAGACATGAATTACTTTTCATCTGCCTACTGAAGGAAGGCATAAGACTTGGGCTGGTTGGGAACGGAATAGATGATTGTGCCATGGGCTTGGTAAAGTACGTCTTTTCTGTTAAGGCTTTGCCAGTGGAATCGACAGGAGTCGGAATATCCCTGACAGGTGATGGTGTATTTGAGATGTATGATAACCGAGGAGTGTTTACTGATTTGCATGGCGTCTGTGGGGACCAGGCATCAACTTGAATGGATGCACCTCTTGTAGGGGATACCATGGACGAACACTCGAGGCGTAGAACATTTGAATGTGACCGCTGTATCATCGAATGATGAAGAGAGATCAAATGAAATAAGTCAGCGAATTATATAATTGGAGAGTAGAAGAGAGGTGATAAACAGAATGTAAAAAGCTAACAAGCGTCAACCCTTCAATTGGGGATTTTGTATCGTCGACTTCCAATGGCTTACTGCAGATGCGCCAGGTAGGAAACCCCCGGGTGGTGCGGTCCAAACGAAAGGTTGAGGTCTCGCCACGTTGAGTGGAGATTGAGCCTTTCAGGGGAACCTCTTTTGTTTCGTCCAGCGATAGAACTATCGTTGGAAGCTTTGACAGAAGTTGTTGAAGTCATTTTTCAGTAAAAGAAGCTGCGTGAGACTCGTTGACTCACAACATGGCTTGGCCTGATGTACGGCGTCAGGAAGATTACTTCGTTTGCCTCGTCATCGGAAATTTCATATGTGACCCTTTGAGAAAAGTTCTGGTTTACGGGGAACCCAGCTGGTTCTCTGAGGGGTATTTGGCTCTGAGGGGAACAAACAAGCGACGCATTCAGCTTGAAAAGTCAGGAAAGCGAACCTTCGATGCAGATGAAGCACATACCGATCTCTGGGCATTGAAGATCTTCAAGGGGGAGGTCATTGGGTGACCTAGAATTGAAGCTACCTGTTTAACGAAAGAGGGTGAGTTTAAAGGTCGATACAGTCCACCGCAGGGGGTAAAAGCTTACATCGACTTCTGAGGTAGCCGAATTGACCTCTTGCTCGACCTGAGGACGAAAAGACAACATAAATCAATGTCTTTGGAAGGGGTGGAGCGGAAGGATGACAAGAATTCAAACTCACCTCAGTCTTACATACCAAGGCTTTTGAAGCTTGCTTTCGAGACTTCGGTGCTAACTTGTTGAGCACCGAAGCAATTTTGGAACGGGTGGTACTGGTAAATTGGGGACTTGATGTAGACATGTCGTGATGAGATATTAGCTGAGTGATGATTGCTGCCAGTGACAAGTATCAAGAATGCTCAAGTATCAAGAATGCTGAGTGGTAAAGTTGGGAAGGCGAAATTTTTTTGATAGTAAGAAAATGTGTGCGTCGATAAGGTTATATGAGTATAAGGATGAGGAGTTCGATCAACAGGGGCGCTGAGGGATGCATTCTTCCGCTTTCCGATATACAGTCATTTAAGAAAAGCTTGCCCCAAATTCCCCGCCAATTCGCTCGAGTTTTGCGGGCAATTTAGGGCAAGCTTTTCTTAAATGACTGTATATAGTTTTTTTTGGCAACTCGACACGCCCCGGAAAAAGTATGTTTTTGGATTGAAGCTCATGATAAGTACCCAAAAACATAGTTTGCCCTGGTCGTGTGTAGTTGTGAAAAAAGAAAAAGAAAAGTATGTATATGTGTACGGCAAAGTATACACAACTTTGAGTTCCTTGACGCTACAAACATAATGTGCAATTACGCGTGAAATTTTGATTTTGTTTGTTCGGAATTTTGATCTTTTTGGAAAGTGCCGTGACGAAATTTCAACCGAAGTCAAGTTAGACGCTGCCCCGGGTTGTGGTTGTTTCGTTTCGCAGCTCTCAAAGTTATGTATGTTCTCAAATCTTTGCGCTTTGGCTTGTGATACATACAAACCCAGGGGAACAATTCGGGCAGGACAGTAGGGGTATATTAGATGAGGAGGTAGATGTGACATAGGTAAAGGAAAATGAAATTCAACCTTGGAACAAAATGGCTTAACTAACGACATGAGTGAAGACGAAATCGACAACCAAAAGAAACACAAACACAAAGCTGGTACAATTGATTATAATGCGTGATAGAATGGAGCCATCGAATCATCATCATCATTTTCTCCATCGAGTATACTTTCTCCGTCACCTGCTAACACTTCGGGCCTTGCACATAATCGTGATAGGAAAGCTAATGTCTCCATCATTTCTGATCCTAGTGGACGATAACCTTTACTAGGTTGAACTTCATAAGATGATGATCGTGAAACACTTCCAACCTGGTCCGGAAGAAGTGGATTGTTTGCTGGCATGTTACTGGAGGTAGGTACAGGACTTGGACTGGTCGGGAAAGGGATGAATGAGTGTGCGTTGGGAATTGGAAAGTACGTATCGTCTTGCAAAGCGACCCTAGCGGAATCGGCAGGAGTCAGGATACCTGCGACAGTTGACGGCGTTTTGGAAGAGTGTGACAACCCAGGAGTTATCAGGTTGAAGTTTTGACTGGTTGATTTGTAGGAGTATGGCGTATGGGGAGAGCAGGCCTTGACTTCTGTGGGCGTTTCTTTCGTAGGCAAGTCCATGGATGGGCACTCAACACGTGAAACATCTGAATGCGACCTCTGTATCATCCAATGAGCAAGAGAAAGAAAAGGAAGGAAAAGAGTGAGTCAGTTATATGAGAGAAAACGGAAGAACATGATATAAAACGCTGACCGGCATCACCTCTTTGACTGGTAAGTTTTCTTTGACTTCCACTCGCTTGCTAGATTGACGCCAAGTTGAGAACCCCCGGATAGTACGGCCCAAGAGGAAACTTGGCATATCGCGTTCATTGGTGGTGGAATCCTTGGGGGTGACATGTTCTTCTTCCTTGGGTGATGATGCCAAGGGTTGAAACTGGGAAAGAAAACATTGAGATAGATTTTAGTGTTGGTAGAGTAAGGAATCCAAAACTGGTTGCCTTACAACATGGCTGGGCCTCATGTAAGGAGTCAAGAATATCGCTTCATTTGCCTCATCATCGGCAAATTCATATATAATCCGCTGTGAGAAGTTTTGGTTGATCGGAAAGCCGGCGGGTTCCCTGATAGGTGCCTTGTTCTGTAAGGGAAGATAGAACAGACAAAATCGACTTGCAGAGTCAGAACTGTGGCATCAATGTGAGTGGAAGGAAAATGCACATACTGATCTTTGGGCATTGAAAATTCTTAAGGTGGAGGACATCGGGTGTCCTAGGATGGAGGTTACCTATGGCGGAAAATGCATGGTAAGTCATCTGATAGGTGATGCAGTCCACTAGAAAGGACAAAAACTTACATCCAGTTCGGTTTTAGCCCAGGAGGACTGTTGGTTGACCTAAAGACGAAAAGAGAAAAGACGTTGATATACTGAAAAAAAAATCGAAAAATGACAAAGCGAATTCAAACTCACCTCAGTTTTAGGTGCCAAGGTTTTTGAAGCTTGGTTTCGGGACTTCGGTGCTAACTTGCTAAGCACGGAAGCAATCTTGGACCGACTAGTAGCAGGTTGCAAAGCAGATTTAGACATGTTGCAATGAGGTTGCGCGTAGACTAGGAGTGGGTGAGAGAAGTAATCGATGTTGACAGGTATCAAAAGCTCAAGTGTTCAAGTTGTGATGAGGAAGTAAGTTTGATAGTAAGAAGATGTGTGCGTTGATAATGTTGGAAGAGGAAGGATGTTCATTGAGCATGAGCGTGAGGGAAGCATGATTTATACGCTTCCGATGCCATTCTCTGATGGACCGGCCGTCTGCATACTTCCTCATCACACGTTTAATTATTGGATGTTCATGGTAGAACGTTCCTCTCGATCCGCCATCGACAGCTTTTCTGGCCTTGGTCGACCGTACCGTGGCACAAGGCACCAATATATCAATCTCGGCCCTTTGAATACTCAGCGCAATTGAAAGCTCGTATTCGAAATCGCCGTGCCTAGGATGAGTGTTGGTCATGTGGTATATAATAGATGGCTGAAAGGTCATCCGTGACTGGCCTTCAACGCTCGAGTACTTGAATGCATTTCGCTTTCGTGATGTGCCTTTAAGTGTGTTGGGTCAAGAGCCTACCTCGCGCACCTTGCGGGTCACAGTGCCACTTCCGTGGGCCATCGCCGAATCGAAATTTTGTATTGCATGCGGTAGGAGTTGCTCATTTCTCAGGCCGGCAAAGGACCGCAAGTTACAAGACAAGGGCAAGCAGGAGCTCATATTGATGACAAGAAACGTGACCAAGAAAACAAAACGGCGCAAACTTGAAATCCAAATGATCAAAAAGAAGAGCATGAGGTCCTCGTAAGTACTGAACGAGCTCACGACAAACAATCCTGTGATGATCAAGGGAAAGAGAAGCACAAGGAATGTGATCAGTCAGTAGGCGTGATAGAATAATCCCATCGAGTTATCATACCCCAAAAGGCTTTCTTCATCCAATGTTACATACTGTCATCATCGCCAGCTGGAATTCCACGTCTTTCACATAGTTTTAAGAATGAGTTTAAACTGTCCATCATCCGGAATGCTGGTCGACGATGCCCTTTGCTTTCCCCACGTCCGCGTCCAATCTGATCAGGGCCAAATGAGTCATATCTCGTCACCCTAGGCATAGTACCCCGAGTAGTTGGAAAGGGTATGGATCCATGTGCGATTGGACTTGGAAAGCAACTCTGCTCCTCCAGGGCTATAGCACAACTGGAATCGGTTGGAGTCTGCATGTTTTCAATGGTTGACGGGGATTGCAAGGAATATGATAGCCAGAGAGTGATCAGGAGTGAGATTTGGTCCGAAGTCATGCATGTTGTACGAGCTAAGCACGCCTCGACTTAACTGGGTTGTTTCGTTCTCCTCTCGGCGGTTATTCCATGGCGGAGGGATGTGCACGTGGAAAGAGTCAGAGTGATGTCTATATCATCAAATGATCAGAAAGAGACCACACGCCTTAACCACTTATCTGTGGAGGCTGAAATAAAGGGGATGGAGAGAAAAGAAAAGGCTCCGGCAAGATCTCTTTGCTTGATAACTTTTGCTCAACACCCCGAATAGCTCGATCCAAACGGGTAGCTGTCAGATCACCTGGAGTAGAGGCTGAACCCTGGAGGATTGCTTCTCTTGCTCCCTTGGGCGATAGAGCCATGAACGGAGTCTTCAAAAAACGAGATAGGTTTCTTTATTGTTGAGCAAGTCAGCTGAACCTCCTTCACTTGCAGCATTGCTAGCCCTCTGGTAAGGAGTCAAGGATATTGCTTTGTTTTCGTCCTCGGCAAAGTCATATATCAGTGGCAATGAGGGATAAAGAAATTTGCTTAGTCAGGAAAGATGTGTTTCTCTGTGGTGTAAACAGGAGAGGGTGACCAGGAACTCACTCAGCAAGCCCGGCAAGGGGGTATCATTTATATGGTTTCCAATGATGGACCTGCGGACCTCTTGACTTGATTACTGAAGTTTTTTTACTGGCCAATTAAGAAAGCTCAAGTTGACAATCAAAAATGTTCATGATACAGACTTTACAGTGTATCTTTATCTTTCATCAACATCTCCTCTGAGCTTGGTGGACCACTGTAGCATGAAGAGCACATTGCAAAACAAAGATAAATATATATACTGCTTTCTCGTACATATAAAAGTGCGCAGGCACTGGAGTCAAGGGCACAAGTAACCTCTCAGCTGAAAAAATCTTCTTGTTGATTGAACCTGCAAAGAAGCAATAATTGTGAGCCCCTTATGCTTGGCCAAACAATTGCCACCACCCTGTCTTCATCACAAGAATTCTAAATATGTAGAGTTTGCAATTGCACTGAACATTCTGTATATGGTAAGGAAGCTGTGATGTGAGATAGGTGCCTTCAAACTAGGGAAAAGTTGAAAAGTTGAACAGAAAAATTGGGAACCGTGTAATTACAATACAAGCGATACAACGCTGTAGTGCAATCACAAAGTTAGACTTTGTATTTGGAGGGGGCCTCCCTCATAGGGCTTCACAGTTTTGAAGCAGCAAAAAGGCGTGTAATGAAAAACTATGATTTCACTACAGTGTTATATTGCTTGTATTGTAATTACACAGTTCCCAATTTTTCTTTTCAACTTTTCAACTTTTCCCTGGTTTGAAGGCACCTATCACACACAGCACACACCATATCAACTAGGGCATAGGCGGGCCCGCCCGCTAAACTACAAATGTTCAGAATCAAACACTCACGTCCAACAACTCAATCCCATTAACAGGGAATAGACAGGAGACTGAATCGTGGGTTTAACAAAACAGAATTTTAATGATTACATAGCTTACAGTTACCAATTTGGCACTGTTAGGTTACACACATTCACTTGTTGCCACACACTATCATCAGTTTCACATGTGGGGTCCCTTACAGCAGCAACGTGCAAGTATACTTTGCCCTGGAGTTTAATATCCATAGAGTGCCTTTTTTAAATTTGAGCCAGGACTCCCTTCCGCCTCTCCAGGCAGATGTATGTCAGCTAGATTTGGACTTTTATTCTACCCGTTACTTGAGTTCTATTGCCCTCTCCAACACTTTCACAATCAATTGTTTTTCAACCAGTCTGGTATTGTGATTACATATGTTGTTCCATCCTACAGTCAATCTAGATTAGCTTGTCCGAGCAGATTTTATTTATTTATTTTTTACAGCAATACAGGTAAATCTATAAGCATAAACATATGATTCATATGCTTATGTTTGTCTGGTCATGAGTCAGACCAACCACTGCTGACCACAGTCAACAGCGCTTCACTATTATGAACCTTCAGCACCGTACTTTCATCCTACACGCATCGATCCCATATTCCATTTCAGCCAAGGACCTCTAGTGTGAGCTTGACCTTGTCTTCTAGGCTTTGAATTCAATCTCTTTACTTCAATTCAGACCTCTAAGCTTCGATTTGGCCCTCTGCGTCTTCGATTCAACCCTCTATGTCTATTTGAGTCTATTGGTTTTGAAATCTTGGCTTTGATGCAAGTGAAGGGCTGTCTTTAGCCCGTGTTCTCACTTTTGAATCCCTTCTTTAGGCTCCAGATCCAACTCGTAAATTCAACTGTTAAGCTCTGGCCATTTGTTGACTAACTCAATCGTTCCCTTCTTATTTATCTTCCTTAGCTTTGAATCTGTCACATCAGATCAAATCCATTGTCTCAATGTTCATTCTGCTTGTATCTCATCTAGCCTCAGCTTGCCATTGGGATACAGTCTCTTCATGTGGTGCTTCAATCGCTTTCCAAATCCATTGATACCATGCCAGAAAGTGAGGAGATCATGTGCAATGATCATGGTCACAGATAGGCAGAGTGCCAACAGTTCTTAGATCAAGTCATAGATCGTGTACTCCACACTGGAGTATGCAAGGAAGCCAGCAACCACCAAGTATGATCTCAGGTCCTACTGAAAAGGAAATAAGACAGTTCTTCATGACCGCAAAGTAAGAAAGTACAGTGCAAGTCTTTAAGCATTTGCAAGAGGTTTGTGCATTCTGAGACTGTGGGCCTAATGAACTCATAGGCGACAGAAAAAGCCCAGAAATTATATCAACTAGACCTGAGGATGATGACAGTAAACAGTCCATGTTATTGAATTGATTGAGCATTGGGATGACAGGTACAAAATTCCTATATACAGATAAGACACTGATTTTTTCTCGAGAAGCACAGCGAAATCGGATAGCAAGAAAAAACAATATAATGAGATCCACAGACTGGGTAAGTAGCCTCTTACTGATGATTTGCAATAAAACAAGATCGATCCTCGCCGCTGGATTGGATCTATTAGATTGCTGGATCCCCAAATTACTCTAGAGTGTCTAAACCAAAGACCAGGGCTTGAGTTGACAGGCAGAAGGGAGTCCAAAGAAATGTAACATTTCAATTAGCGGGGGTTTAGTCGGTGAACAGGACTTAAGTCAAAGAAAATACACACCCTGAATTGGTAATAAGATAGGGAATTGAGTCGATGAGCTTGGAGATATCTGATGAATGGACCAGGACATTGGACCGATTGGACAGACAAGGAAGATATTCAAAGATCAGATGATCGATCGCAATATGAGAACAATATTCAAAGAGCTTACTTGAGTCAAAGCCGAGTTGTTACAGCCGAGATCGAAAGGGTGGTTGGATCGCGGGATGAAAGCCTAGATGATATGCACAATTTTCAAAGGATAGTTAGTGACGAGGTAAAGAGGATTCAAGTGATTTAAGGATGGGTTTGGACGGAATGGATTGATGCTGATAGATGCTGATCAGTCAGAAGCTTGAATCGTCAAAACGGGCCCATTCAACTGAATGTGGTGTCGCAGTTGAAGGCTATGTATGCTTATAAAATGGCCTGTATTGGCCTGTATACGTCTGAAAATAAAAATAAAAATTCTCGATTGGCCAAGCTAATCTAGATTGACTGTATACCTTTATACCATGGTATGATGTTGAGCAGGCTGTAGAACAAAAAGATCAAAATCAGACTCAAATTAATATGGATGCCAAATAGTAAGGGTCTGATGCTCACAATATATATTAGTTGATGCATTTCTAATGTGAATGAAGTATTGCAGGCAGTGTGGTTGATCTCAGTTATGCTCTCCTTAGCTCTCTATATGCGGTTGAACCAGTGCTGCAGCTTCCTGGCCCTATCATATGATTGAATTATTCATAGTCTGTCTTCCCTCAAACCCTTTAATTTCTATTCCCCCTCACGTCTTACAATATTTTGGTGCATTAATACCACAATTGCCAATGCTCATACACCCAATGTGATATTTAGGCCAGCCATGTCCATCCCTCAATGAAACAATCATGATGCATTGTATACACAGGTTGCCTTCTTGAGCTCCAACAGAGCTGCCATCAAGGCATCAAATTTGACTTGTAATTTTGATAACTGTTCCTGACACACGTGAGACTGCATTCTAGACCACACCCATTGACAGGATAGGCATATTTCTTGCCCTCTTCTGTTTCAGGATCCTACACTTCAAGTTTCTTTGTTTTCCATATGCATTGGCCAAGTTGTTAAATCTACATCATGCTCTCTCCTCTTTGGGGAATCCTTTCAAGACTCTCACAGCAGCAATTGTGGATTAGGAAACTGTATTTCAACAGTGGTTACTTTGTAACAGCACATATCTTCATCCACCTGTGTGTACCCTCTTGCTCACTGGCCTCTTTAGGCAGCATAAGATAATATGAACCTACTGCGCAAGGGAAGATTCCTAGAGTTGCATTCTCTTCCTTTTAAAGGTCAAGTTAATAAATTGTCATCAGAGGCATTTTATAGTGTTGGACCTATTATGAAACCTAGAGTCAAGTATTGAGGTTCAAAGTGGGATCTCTTGTTATGATTTCCTTGGAGAGCAAATCATTTACCTGCATCAACTACACCACAAATTGGGCCTGAACTTGATGAAAATTCTCAAGTACTTACCAAAGCCATTCAATATCGATGACTAAAAAACACATCTGGTGTGGGTTGGAGTGATATATTGTAGTAGTAGTAGCTGGTGTTGCAATGGTTGATTGAGAGTGATCTTGTGATAGTTGTTGTTGATGTTGTCTTTGATCAATTACATATTAGTTTAGTATGGTTATATATGGTGGCAATTCTCTTGGATTGTTGGAATGCTTTTGTGATTTGTTGTTGGAATGCTTTTGTGATTTGTTGTTGGAAAGTGGAAGGTGAATATTGATTTTTACTTTGATGATCAAATAAAGTCAATATTATTCTCTTGAATAAAATGCTTGTTGATTAGAAAGTCAATCTGCGAGAAAAAAAGGATTTCAAAACATCTGTCTGACTGATGATTCAATATCGAATAGACTCAAACATGATTAAGAGTTGAATTTAATTGAGTTGAAATAATCTGGTGTTGTGGTCAATTTGTGGTTCATGAATGTTGAGAGGGTGAAGGTGGTAGGAAAGAGAACGGAGTATCAGATTGATGGTTATGGAGAGGAGTTGGATCATGAATGTTATGATAATTAAAAATTTGTTGATGATTTCAAAAAATGAAAGTTGATCAACATCTCCAAACAAATCTATCTCTTCTTCATCTTCTTCATCATCTTCTAAATCATCATCATCTAGATTAGAAGATGAAGAAGTGATTTGATCGGAATCTTTTTAAGAAATCAAATACAGGTATAAAGGTAACATGAACACCAATATTTGATTTCGCTCTTTGTTACATCCGTCTTTGCTGTCATCTATGTAACAATGTGCTTTTGGACTGTGTGAGCACACTTTTGAGTCCAAATGTGAAGTTCCACTTCGCGATTGAATAGCAAGTGAGAGCTCCGCTTCGAGATTAAATAGCAAATGAAAGTTTGACTTGTTATGTTACGGATGGTTTGGGGAAGACATACGATCATGAGTGGAAACCGACACATGTAGAAAGGCAGGATGTGCGATTTGATGAGGAAGGAGATGCTTCCTGAATTGAAAAAAGAAGCTTGGTGCTTAGATCACCATTTTCAAAAGCATGTCACCGATTGCACCTGATAACAAAAACAATTCACTGGATAATTTTTGATGAAAGAAATCAGTCACATGAGAACAATGACTTGCCTCGCCGTGACTGATGCTTTTGAGGTAGGCTTTTAGAAAAGCGAATGCAATGAAAGCAGAAACAATTGACCACGTGAGGCTTTTCAATGGAAGAAATTAGTGATGTGGCAATAATGATTTGTCTCGGAGCAATTGATGATTTTGATGCAAACTGTGACTGCTTTCAAAGCAGCCTTGTAGAAAATCAAATGCAATGAAGTTGGAAATGTCGGGATTGGTGAGATTGTTGCTTTTGAAATGTGGATTTCTAAAAGCAAGCATGCGCTAAAAGCACTCACCACAGGTGGATGCTTTCCGTAAATATATTGGCCACCAAAGGTGGGAGGGAAAGGATATAAATAGCGTGGGATGAGAGCCAATAATTTCTCATCAATCAAAGCTACCCATGGCTGCACTTCTGTGAGTCGTAAGTGGGAAGCGGCGAGATCCTGGTGTTCACTCACCCAAATTGCTGAAAACCTTGCCGTCATGACAGGGTATAAGGCTTTTGGGGGGGTGAATCCGGATTTAAGAAGATTAATAAGCCACAAAATCAAACCAGTCTGAACATCCCTCAAATCCCAATTTCCTTTGTTGCACACAAATCAATCAAATGAGAAAACTTTTGGATATTGTCTTGCAGCGCCGGACAACCTTTCTCTTCCTATCAACCCAGATTCACCATTCCAGCTGTCTCTATTTCTCTCTTTTGTGATTCTACTGTATAAGTATTCCAACTTTTACAACTTCTTTTATGTTTCCAAAAGCATAGGACTACTGAGCCTCTAAAAATTCAAACCTGTTGCAACTACATATACATACATGTTCATGTGGGTCAAATCAATTTGTGAGAGCCAATCCAGGTTGGGGGTGCAATGTGAAAAACATGCCTGGCGCGCCTCTGACTCAGAGAAATTGATAAAATTGGGATTGGCGTACCTTTTTGAAAACACACCAAATCTCAGGAGTTCTGTGTCCAATCACCAATAGCCATGTTGAAACCTAACCTGTTTGACACAAAATACTGGTACACCCAGTTGTGTTTTTCACCGTGTCCGTGTAGGGTTTGCTCAGCAATGAGCGCACTCCGACTCCCTTTGAGGCAGAAAGGGAAGTTGTGCGCGCTTGTCAACGAGCAAACACTACCGGGACACGGTGTTTGTTGGTAACCTTGTGTATCTATCAATAGCTCTTGACAGCTTCCAGCCAAGAAGATGACCAGGCTTTTGTGCAACCGGGTTAGGTTTGAACACAGCTAATATTGGAATTGTCAACAACAGTAGTAGGGGTTTGATAACAACTAGTAGATAGCTCCAGCAATACAAATGTAGAATAAACTTTGATGAAAAAGCAGCATTAATCCAGCACTCAGCAAAAAAATATGAACCACAGTTGTGCAATCAAAACTTTCAAAATTTACATTGATTCAAATTCATTCTGAAGCTACAGATTTCTATAATTATGCAAGGTTTTCAGAAACCACATGTACAAGATAAAGCAGAGAAATATGGCTCTGTCAGAAGTTTTGAAATAGTGGGTGGTGGAGTGTTGAAGGGAGATGGAATCCAAGAAAGCCAAAGAACTGTAATCTTGCACTCTCATCACGTGTGGATTTGGGTTTAAGTTGTAAGTTGCTCCTCTGCTGGATCCAGAGGATGTCTGCACTTTGAGGATGGACTCAGTCAAGTTAGGGGTAGAAAACATTTTTATGAGTTGATGGGAATTTCTTTTGGTGTGCATGCTGAAGACCTTAATTGATCAAGGTTTATTGCCGTCACTTGAAACACGCAGGAGAAGATTTCTTGCATGTTGATTGACAAAATTTCCGGAAGAGATTAATTATACACAATAGTTCTATGTAGTTTCAAAGACTAGAGTTTAATCTGCTGAAACACTGGACAGACCCAGGAGGCCTGAGCAAGTTACCGTGTGAGAAAAATAGCTGATACCCTAGTGGTGGCCTAACACTACAATAAGAAAATGCCAAACTACAAGGAAGGGAGGGAGGGAGGGAAACAAAAACTAAATTAACCAACAATGAAAGTGCAGAGTGACTTGTTGATAAAGGTTTGGATGAGCACAATTACCTATGATAGATGGAAAATTGAAGAAAGAGGCAATGGTTGAAAACCGTGAACATGATTTAACCTAACAATGGAATCTTGAAAACACAAACACTAATAGAATAAAACAACTAATTCCCAACCCCTAACCCCTAACCCTTTCACATATATGTAAAAGGCCTTGGAGTTTCAGCAGGTGATGGCAAAGGTTTACTGGATGGGGATTGTGATGATGATGGTCTGAACATGGATCCGTTCTATCACACCATTTAAACAATTAATATCTATGTTGTACTTGATGTAATTGCATTCCAAGTTTTTATCATTCTTCTCCACATGATCCCGTCTTATTGCAATTCTCGCAATATTCTAGTCAAAAGATTGTCCAAAATCATGAGCATATATTTTCTTATCAACTAATTTATCAACCAGATTTTCTATACATAACCCTTGAACATCAGAAATTGCTCACTCCTCTTATATGAATAGAGAATCATCTGAGCATCTGATCATAATACATCACCCTTTCCACCATGGTTGGGTTATACATGTCCTGGCCAATGATGTAATCATGGACCTTTCTTCTGCCAGGGTGCTAAAGCCGAGTACTAAGAGCACAAGAATACGTGGAAGGCCTTCCTAAATCAAATAATAGCAAACCCTTAATAAAGCATAAAGTGATTCAGTGTCATCAAAGATTCACAAAATGTAATAATCAAGCGTCCGTCTGAATACATTTCATCAAAGCTGTCACTGGTGAAACCCTAGCTTTTATCAAAGAATTCCTATTACCTTTTACACTTTTCCAAATTGAAGCCAAACCACTTGAACCTTTCACAACTGAACTCTTAGGGGAATCAGAGACTGCTGTTGATCACCACCTTGAGATACTGAAATGTAGCCAGGATCACTTGTATCCAAGAGAAGTTTGAAGGTGCCTAGAAGACCTGTGCTTCAGATATGTATTTTTGCTGTGTTGCTTTTACAACTCAAGCTGCCAAGAATCAAGATATGCATGGAGTGGTTCTCAATCAATCTGGTTCCCCCAACCTGTCTGTCGGTGCATATGTCACAAGCGGGTATTGCCTTTTGTCAATTTAATTGGCGGGCGGTACATGTATGTAGATCCATGTATCCGATCCGACGGTGAGTATGGGATTCAAATTTAAATTCAGATCAGAGTTTAGCCCTGGAATTGGTCAACGGCTTTATTATTGAAAGGGCAATTTACTCTATCTCTTCATCCGAATTCTCATCCAAGAAAAAACACCATACGATCAGCAATCACGGATTAATAATATCACTTTAGTTTTAAACGATATGGAAAACTACAATCGACTTGAGAAGGTAACCTTTACCCCGCTTCACCGGCCCTTCATTTGCTTTTGACAGCTAATCTGGCTTGAACCTTTTTCTACTCGTCGTGACTGCTGCGTTGGTGAATAGGTTGGTGAAGGTAAGCTTTCAATCTGGCTCCTTGATCTTCTTGCTTGAGATCTTAATCCTGAGTTGGATCCTATACAGGCACGTACGGGGTAGTCTATAAAGCAAGAGACCTGCGCACTGGAGAGATCGTAGCACTCAAAAAGATCCGCCTAGAGGCTGAAGACGAGGGAGTTCCAAGTACTGCTATTCGTGAGATTAGTCTTTTGAAGGAAATGAATGATGAAAACATTGTCAGGTTAGCTTTCTTCCGCTTTGAGATCAGTATATGATCTTCTGACGCGTCATAGTCTACCACTCTCAATAACATGTCGATCATTTTTCAACATCTTATCATAGACTCCTTGACATTTGTCACGCGGAAGCCAAACTTTTCTTAGTTTTTGAGTTCTTAGACCTTGATCTCAAACGATACATGGACAAAGTTGGGGACGGAGAAGGGATGGGCCCGGGGATTGTAAAGGTAAACACTAATCCCCTTGATATATTTACTACTTTCACTGACTCTTTTGTTGGATTTGCATTAGAAATTCTCTTTTCAATTATGTCGAGGAGTTTGCTACTGTCATGGTCATCGTATTCTTCACCGAGATTTGAAACCACAAAACTTACTTATTGATAAGGAGGGTAATTTGAAGTTAGCAGACTTTGGATTAGCTCGAGCTTTTGGTATTCCATTACGAAGTTACACGCACGAGGTGAGATCTTTAACACTGATCTATAAATCAAAGTTAGTATCATTCTGATGAGATATATATACCTCTTATAGATTGTGACGCTTTGGTACCGGGCGCCTGAAGTCTTGTTGGGTAGTCGTCACTATTCTACGTATGTTGATAGGATCTTGGATTCAATCTATCTTTGGGATTTTCTGACTAGCATAAGCTTCACTTTTGACTTTACCCGCCAGGGGTGTCGATATGTGGTCAGTGGGATGTATCATTGGTATGTTTTCAATTATCACTTGTAGCGTATGACTTTGTTCAAATCTGCATTATTCAATAACACTTTTGTCACTTCTAGCCGAAATGATATCCCGACAGCCTTTGTTCCCCGGCGATTCGGAGATTGATGAGATTTTCAGAATCTTCCGGTTAGCAGTCTCTCTTCCCACTGTATCTTGAGATGATCATCACTAACTTCTGATACCTCTTTTTTTAGTTTGTTGGGTACCCCCAACGAAACTTCTTGGCCAGGTGTCCAATCTCTACCAGATTACAAACCTGGCTTCCCACAATGGTCCGCTAAGGATATCGAGACTCAAATCCCGAATTCGAACTCGGTCAGCGTGGATCTGATCTCGGTAAGCGGTTGATGAGATTCTTTAAATCGATGCTCTTCACTGAACATCGATCTCTTTGACTTTGTCAGAAAATGCTGATTTATGATCCAGCCAAACGAGCCTCAGCCAAAACTTCGCTCACGCATCCATATTTCGTAAGTTTATGTCTCTATCCTTCCGATCTGCATCTCACTACAGTGTGGCTATGAATAATTTGTCGGACGAACTGACTGACAAGATGATGATCTTCTGTTGTATATTTCTGTTAGGATGGAACTGAACTTCAATAATTGAGTTCTTCCCGGAAGTTTCAATCTAGACTCTTCATGACCGTTGCTATGAAATGTAAAACCATCTCAGAGAGGGAACAGGAGGACTTTAATCCATAGATCTCATCAGTATTATGTGTTAGTCTTTATAAGTATTGTGCATCCTTCAATCTCTTCACTTGTGAATATCATCATCATCAATTTCATCACATAGATTATACATATATATATATATCATGAATCGTACTGTTTGATCAGGATTGGAAACTGAATGGTTGAGATTGATTTGAGGAATTTCTTTTTTTTTTCTTTCTTTTTTTTCCAAAATCTTACACAAAACCAATTTATTTTAATCGTCTTAAAAAGTTCTTTTATTGTTCGTGTGTGTGTGTGTGAATTTTTTTTTCTAATTGAGGAAAGATGTGTTATTATTGTTTTAGTTGTGTGTTTTTTCTTTGGCGAGAGGAGGTGTTGGACTGTTTGACACTCATTTATTTAACTTACTACGTAGTCTTTATCAGTTGATTGAGATTTTGATATAGAAAATATATATATCATGATTGGAATTTAAGAAAACTTTCACCAACAAGAAAATTCATTCTATAATGTACTTGTGATTATAGATGATCAAAAACCAATTCAATTTGCTGTATGTAGAACAGAGCTCGAAACAGGAATCCAAGACAGTGGTTTAAATGAGGTGTTAAGGATTGAACTCAGGGGCTCTAACATCTAACATCTCACAGTGAATGATTATCTTGCATATGCTTATGGAGATGTACGGTTTCAAATTATAAACACCTCATGATTTTTATTCATAGATTTTACAATAGGAGTGTTCAAAGCTGAAAACTTCATATTTTGAAAGAGATTTTGAAGCAAAAGATTTTGAACCGTGATTCTTGTACAGAAAAACTGTGATTCTTGTCCAGATATGTATGGGTGTATCTTGAGCTTTGGAGTTTGCTCAGGTTTGCTCCACTTCAAAATCATAGGGGGGCACATCCATACTCAGTGATACTCCCTTCTGATCATATCTGTACGAGAATCAATGTTCATCTGTACAAAAATCACAGTTCAAAATTCTCGCTTCAAAATCTCTTTCAAAATGTCAAGTTTTCAGCTTTGAACACTCCTAATCACTATCACGTCAACAAGATTCACTCTTTTTAGAAAACAAGACTTGAATATACAGTCATTTAAGAAGAGCTTGCCCCAAATTCCCCGCCAATTCGCTTGAGTTTTGCGGGCAATTTGGGGCAAGCTTTTCTTAAATGACTGTAACAAGAGATCTTTGGTATTGGCATAGAATACGATTAGAAAAAAATACCGCATCTTGTAAAATCCTTATCATGTTTCATTTTTCAATTAGAAATATGTATATGTATGTATAGAATACCGATGAAAAAAAAGGATTGAGATTTAAATAGATAGTAAAGATTAAAAATTATGTAATCTTTAACATTCCCGAAAGTCGTATAAGAGTGTATGGTTCAAATATGAAACCCCCGAAAGAACATGCAATCTCATTAGATCTCAGGCTCAAATGCATGCATTTGGTAGAGTTTTATTTTTGGTTTACATATGTACAATGTATGGAGTGACGATCACTTCTTAGAACTTCTGAGGGTTTTTTCGTACTCACTTGAAATAGATCTGCAATATGAAAAACTTGGAAGAAAATGTTGTATGTACTGTAAAACTTCTTCGGATGAGTTTGTTTCTGTACGATGTAGTATGTAAAGGATCAGTTCACAGCTGTGAAATTTTTAAACTTTAATTTTTTGTGTTGCACAATGAATTTTAAAGAGATGGAAAGCAAAGGAATCGGATTATTGAATGTTTTTTGTTTTCTTGGATGTTGATGAGTTTGATTTTTATTTTGCGAAATCGGTTCTTTCTCTTGATCTGAGTTTCTTTCGAATCGACTTCTCCTGAGTCTTGAGTCATGATCTTGAATGACATTTTTTCACTCTAACTTCAACACCTTGATATAAACACATCGATAAGATTGGATTTCACACTTTGGAGGAGCATACAATACATAGATGATCAGTTGCTTTTGTTTTCAAAGTTCTTCATGTAGAATTCAAGAACAGATCTCATGTTTAAGTGATCATGTTCTGGGTTCCCCCTTGACGCCATTGTACGTCAAAAGATCACTTGGCGAAATTTTCAAGTGGGTTTTCCTTTCCGCTCATCATCATTCAGTTTACTTATCACCATCCGGTCGTAAAAGAACACTGACACCGTGGACATCAAAGTTTTTATCCCATTTCGACACCGGCATGAGGTTTATGTATCAGTAGTTGATCTAGTTGTGATGATAGACATGAAGGTTTTTGTAGTATTGAGCAGACCAGACCAACTTATGTAATCAGTCTTCTCCTTCCTTGAATGTGATGATTTCTTTTGAATTTGATTTAATAGTTTTGACAAACTCATCGATCAATCAATCAATCGATTCATCAATTAGCTCGGAGATAAACACTATGAAGTTCGAATGAGTGGTTTGGTTTTGATCGTTCCAAGCTAATTATTTGTGAAGATGGTGAGATGTATGGTATGGTATGTACTCCTTTCTTTAAAATCAATCAATCTACTTGATTTCTCTATTATAGATGATTTATTTATTTAATTCTAATTCTGAATTCTGAATGGAGATGTAACGAGATGATGATGATGCTTGATGATGATGATGTAAAGTCAATTACCTTTTTGGATGAACTTCTTGTCTTTTTTTTTTGGCTATAAAATGCGATCTGTCATGTCTCTCTCTCTCTCTCTCTTTCTTCAACCAGATTCTATTCTAATTAGATTTTGTATCTTTAAAGAAAGTTGTTTTAGTTTTTATTTTATTTTTCTTTTTGATTTGATTTGTTATTTTACGATTTTCTAGAGTTCTAGAGCATATTCGATTTTTAATTTGGATGATCTCGTCTAAAAGAATCACAAATCACAAATCACAAATCAAAAGAAAATCTTGAAAATACTAATTAATCATTTCCATCATTCCAATCTGATTCACCCCTTTAACTTGATTAAATCCATTTCCATTTCCATCAAATCAAATCAAATCAAATCAAATCAAAGATACAAAAATCAATCATAACAACCAATCTCAATCAAAGATCCTTGTTTACCAATCCTTGTTTACCTTCAAGACCCCAAATCAAAACATCAAGAGTTGATTCAAATCAAATCAAATACATACCATATGGATATCATCTTAAACAAAGCAGATGAGATCTTTCTCGATTATCTTTGGTCAAAAGCATTTCCCATCAATTCATCAAACCATCAATCATTTCAAAACATAAACCAAACGAATCTAACAAGAAATCATTTATCAACTTTCAATCGTCAAAATCTCTTTCGTCAATCAATTTCGATTTCTTCTTTAGCACTCATCTCAGTTCCAATCCTTTATTTGAGTTTAGGTTTAATTTCATTTTATTTTTTATTTGATCATAGATTAATGAATCATCCTAGGTTTTTAAAAAATCAAATTCAACTTGAGATTTATGCTTCTTTACGTGCTATTGGTCCTATGATCATTCTTACTTTACCTATCTTTTTGGCTGAAGTTAGAGGTTATAGTTTACGTTGGTTTGGTTTCTTCTTCTTTTTCTTATTCATTTCTATAAAGAAAATTCGTGAAAAACTTATGGTGTTTTTTTTTTTTGGTTTGATTAGTTTATGATAATGTGAACGATTTTCGTGGTTTACCTATTTCAGCTTTAATTAATTGGATTTATCAAATGGGTTTAAACTTATTTAATTTCATAAATCATCAACATCATCAAATCAATCATACTCCAAATTGGTTAAATTCTTTGATTCAAGCTGATTTCCATTTAGGTGGTGGTTGGACTTATTTAATCTTTAGTCAATTATTCTTTTTATGGTTTACAGATCTAGCTATTGTTTGTTCACCCGTTTTTTTTTCCTTTCCCTTTTATCAAAAAAATAATAATAATAGATTTGAACTGATTCGACTTTTTTTTGATGTGCTTTAGTATTTAGTTCATCGTTGGATTCATACACCTTCAATTTATAAATATATACATAAAGCTCATCATAAATGGATCATTCCAACCCCTTTTGCTTCTTATGCATTTAATCCATTAGATGGATTTCTTCAATCATTACCTTATCATTTGTTTATCTTTATCTTTCCATTACATAAATCTGTTTATCTTTCACTTTTTGTTTTTGTAAACTTATGGAGTATCTTGGTAAGTTCCTTTTAAATTAAACTTTTACTTTTTTTTTAGAATTCTGTATACTGATGATTTTCTTTTTTGATGATTTTTTTTTTTTCGAAAGATTCATGATTCAGATTTAATTGTTGGTCATCCACTTGAACATATCATCAATGGACCATCTCATCATACTTTACATCATTTACACTTCACATGTAACTATGGTCAATACTTTACTTGGGCAGATCGATTAGGTAAAACTTATCGACATCCAATTCAAGCTGATCAATTAGAATTAATCGCTTCTTCTGAAAAGAAATCGATTGAACGAAAATTAATTAAAACAAGTTCAAAGTCTACTTTTACTTCGAATTCCGATTTGGGTTTGGTTAAGAAAGAGATTAGAGATCGACCAGATAGATTCGAAGAACAGATCTTGAGTTGTAGTAGTGATAGTACTAGTGGTACTGATGAGGGGTTAATGGATCATGAAGATCTGGTTTCTATTCCTTCTTCTGATTCTTTAAATTTACTTTCTTCACCTTCTTCAGATCAAACTCATCAATCGTGTCAAGATCATGAAGTAGAAAAGAATTTAGAAGGAAGGAATGGGTTGATTGATTGATTGATTGATTGATTGTAATTTGAAGGAGTAGATTGGTTTAGGGTTTAACTTTGAGGTTTGGTTTGAAGTTTGGGTTGGGTTTTTTGTTTTGTTGTTCTGGTTTGGTTTGGTTTTGGTTTTTTTGTTCAACTTGTTGTTGTGTTTTTTCTGTTTTTGTTTTTTCTGTTCAACTTGTCTTGTGACTTTGTGTTGGGTTAAGATTTTGTGATTTTGATTTTTTATTTGGTATCAGAATTTAATGATCTTGATCTTGATCTTGATATATATATAAAGTATATCTGTTTGTTTTATTCATAATAGATTTGTTTTGCTTAATTTTATAATTGCTAATGTTTCAAAATTTGATTTTAGTTTTTTTTTAAATTATTTTAACTTGATGATCAAAAAGATAAAATATAAACAGTTGAGATTGGTATTGTAAAATGAATTTTGGTATGTTGAATGTTGATTAATGATTGATTGATGAGCTGTGTATTTATGAACAAAGAAGAAGAAAATTGCACCTTACATATATGAAAGTTTGCCAGTCACAAGTGTAGCAGGGCTACTTCTTAGTCCTAACTACAATAGGTTACAACGGTCGTTATACTAATTAGATACCATACCGTTACCTTATAAACTAGCCTGGCCCTCATTTGTAAACCAGCTAGATTATATCTCAGCAAGGCGCACAAGCCTTTTACTTTGTACGCCTTCCTTTTTTTTTGTCTCATTGATGTCATCGGCTGTTTGTGCCTTGACAATCACTTTGTATAAATATCGAAAGATTCTCTTGTTATTCAAACTTTTGGTATCTTATCTTTTATCACTTTACTTTTGCTTAAAACTTGTTTTCGCATCTTTTGTCTTTTCAAACCTTCTGTTATCAAACTTCTTTTTTCTTATCTTAAAGATCCCATTATTGCATTTCTCTGAAAGAACAATTTAGAATTACTACTTAAAAGCATCTACGTGCTTTGTCCTATACTTTAGAACTCAGCCGTCCCCTTTTAACGTTCTTCTACTTCAATTGTCTTTCCTCAAAGCATAGATCTGTGATCTTTACTTCTTCGTCCATATTCTTCTAAGCTCCCCCTTAAGGTCACTGGATCTTATCACTTAACGTGGGTACCTATCTCCACCCCGTTACACTGGTAGCGAGAGCTTTTCTTTTTCTTCTTGAAATTGATAATCTGACGTTCTCTTCTGTTTTATAAACTTTTTGATAATTTTTCCCATCGGAAAAATCTCTATAGTTTTCGTTCTTTGAAACCTATCTTTCCAACTAACAACTGTTCTACTCTGGAAGTTATTGAAAGAAAAAGTTAAATTTTACGAAATCCTTTTATAAAACAAGTGAGTCCATCTTCTTAGCTTTAGAAAATATATTAGTACGAAGAAAAGAGAAATAGTTTACTTATTACAGTTGATCTGTGGTTAGACTATATAAGAAATGTCCAACCCATCTTCAGTTCAAGGTCAAAACCCTGCCGAAGTCCAGATCCCACTTAGGCAACATGAAATCGCTGCTCTCAAGGCGAAACTTACAAAACCAGATACCTTGGACGAAACCGACGGAATCTTTTAAATTTACTCAAGCTCAGTATGACGCCCTCAGCCCAGAGCAAGCGGACTACTTTAAAACGCTCAGAAGATTCAAGTTGGGAAAGTTGTTCAAGATTCCCGCTTTCGCTCAAACTCTTTTGGGTCGCAACCGGGACGGATTCTTCAAAGGAGAGCAACCTGATTCACCCACCAACTACAAGAGTAGTTTAAATTCCGAATCTCTCCCTTTGACTCCTATCGGGTCCAAAGCTCCGTTAATGCCTGGAGCTCCCTCAAAATCGAATCTGGTTACTCCGGCCTCGGTAAACGAAGACGATCATTCCAAAGGAAAAGGACCTATGGAAGTAACTACCAATCAACCTAACACTCGAGTTTATCCACTCACTGGTTATCAGGGTCGCATCCGCGAGCCTATCGACTCTTCCTCCTCCGGCGCCGAGAATGAAGATGTTCACATGCATGACGTCAAACCGCAAGTAAAAATCACTCTCACCGACCCTAACGAAATCAAAAACTTTCGCCAATGGCAGGCATCTAGGGATGCTGATAGAGTTCGTTTGACTCAGCGCGTTGAAAGTGTCACCCTCTCGGAGGATACTATCACCGCCAAACCCACCGCTCCCGTCGTCTCTTCCAACTTACGGCCCCTTCGATTAGTCTCTGTCAGAGATTCCGTCGAACCGGGTGTTTGTAGTGAAAATCGAGCTGCGAACCATACCACCTCCAGGTATTCTCAAGGACCAGAAGACGGAATTCCGCGGGATAAGGACTACCACAAGATCTGCAAGACCTTAACTGTCCGAAAATTTGAGAAATTCGACGGAACCAGTTCGTTCGACGCTCATCTTTGGTTTGCTAACTTATCGCGAGCCCTTATGCTCCTCAATGTCGATGAATCAGTTTGGCATTTAGTTGCCTTCCAATTCCTTGAAGGAGCCGCTTTGACCGAATTAAATCAAGTAATTGGCTCGGCTCTTCAACCTCGAAGTTTTGAAGATTTGGAGAATTTTCTTATTGATTCCTTCCCTAGCTCCCTGTCCCTCATTACCATGCAAGACCGGTTCGATAACTTCAAGTTCCGTCCTAATGAGAAGGTTTCGGATGCTGTTGCTCGTTTCAGGATTCTTCAAAACAATGCAGCTCATTTAGGTTTCCACTACCAAGAAAGTACTATCTTCCTCAGCAAGTTACCCCCTGCCCTTCGACGTTATTGCCAAAGCGAAATTGAGAGAGATGCTAGGGCTGGAAAGCCTATGAATTTCACTCAATTAGTTTTGTGCGCCACCGACCGCGACAACTCTTTCCGATCCGAAAAGAACTCGGTCAATACCGTGTCGACTCCACCAGCTGCTTCTTCGAACAACAATGGTCGAAGAAACAACAAACGCAAGTCCTCCGGTGCAGTCGATCAAACCAACACCATCTGTTACAATTGTAACAAGAAAGGCCATCGATTTGGGACCTTGGATAATCCCATTTGCACCGTCAAACCGTCTCCCCGCACTATAAATTATTTTAAAAGAATTAAAGGTAATCCTCCTTCTTCTAATGCTGTTGCCAGTGGCTCCGGAGAGTCAAAAGCTTAGGCGATACATCTTTAGCTCCTCCTGTATTGCCTGATCTGTGTGTGATCTCAACCTCTACTGTTTCTACTGTTGTCAGCAATGAATCTGTTAATTTGGTTGATTTTATTATTGAGCCCAAGGTCCCTGCGACCTTATCTGAGGAGAAACCCTCCAATCAGCTTGTGTTACAAGCTAATTCTTCAGAAGCCCCTTGTGTCCTCTCAAAAGTCGAGAAATTGCCTCTGATTAAAGCTCCTAGGTTGTACAACTACCTACCAAGCGCTCCCTGTAAGGAGCATTGTTGCCAAACAGTTGCCGAATCATCTGCATTCTCACAGGCCAGTGAGCCCAGTGGTAAGATGGCTGGAATGATCCAGGATCGCCTCCTGGATCGTTTAGCAACAATTGAAAGCGACTCTGGTCTGCCCAGAGTTGATTTTGTTCTGACACTGAACAATGTCTCCATCAGAATATTATTGGATACTGGTGCGAAACAATCCTACATTTCACAGGTTTATGTAGATGAAAGGAAAATTGTTCCTCAACGGAATCCTTCGCAACCCGTTGTTTATGGGGTTTGGGGAAAACCGTACAAATGCAATCATTTGGCTGATCTAGAGATTGACTTTGGTATTGTTTCGATCAACCATGAGCTACAAGTAGCTCCGCTCGCGTCATACGACGTGATATTAGGGATGGATTGGATTCTTCATTATGCAAAGTCCACCGATTGGGTCACTGGTACTTGGGTATTATGTGATTCGAAAGGAAATGAGCAATCTTTTCGTCCTGCTGCAATCTCAAGTCCTTTGAAGTCTCTTCACCTTATTGAAGGAGAAGGACATCTTGAGATTGATGACGCTCCCTGCACTAGGTCACAATTTAGACGGTTCTGCAGGAACAAGAATGTCGAATCATGGATAGCTTGCCCTAAGGAGACTATCCTACAGATTGGCGAGTCAGATGGACCTCGAGAAGAGATCCCTAGTACTCTCCCAAAGATCTCTACCACCGAACCCAAGTTAGTCCAATGCGCGACGGGTATTGTTGCTAAATTTAAGCAACTATTTGATGATATTACTGAGGCACCAAAAGCGGAGCAGGTAGTACAACATTTAATAGATACAGGTGACAGTAAGCCAATAGCCCAGGCAGTTTGTAGAATGTTGCCTCTGTTATTATCAGAACTTCAAAAGAAGTTAGAATCCTTGGAAAAGAACGGATTTATACAACCTTCCACCTCCCCTTGGTCCTCACCCGTCCTTTTTGCTAAGAACGCATCTGGGAAACTAAGATTTTGCGTGGACTACCGGGCTATAAATGCTGTTACCAAGAGGGATAGACACCCTCTTCCTCTTATCCAAGATTGTTTTGACCAACTACATGGTGCAGTTTGGTTCTCTAAATTTGATCTTCAACAGGGATTTCATCAAATGAAGATATCCCCTGATCACGTTCCTAAGACGGCTTTTAGCACCAAATACGGTCATTACGAATGGTTGGTAATGCCGTTTGGTCTAGTAAACGCCCCTAGCACGTTCCAACGTATGATGAGCAATGTGTTACGACAGTTCTTAGATAAATTTGTACAAGTATATATGGATGACATACTTATCTACTCCAAATCCGACGAAGAGCATGAGGAACATGTTCAGTTGGTGTGGGAAGCTCTAGCTCAGCAAGACTTAAAAGTCAGCGGTGCTAAATCTGAGTTATTCGCGGATGAAATTCAGTTTGTAGGCCATATGGTGTCGTCGTCTGGTATTCGTCCTATGCAAGACAAGCTTGATGCTATCCAAGCATGGCCTCGGCCCTCTAATGTCACTGAGGTTCGATCCTTCTTGGGCCTCACGGGATATTATAGACGCTTCGTTAAAAATTTTTCGAAGATAGCGTCACCGTTGCACGGCCTTACAGAAGGAAATGTGACAAAGAAATCCAAAGTCCTGTGGACTGCGGTACATGAGGCAGCGTGCGAACTTCTCAAGAAGGCTCTGTTAGAACCTCCCATCTTGATAAGTCCAGATCCAAATAAACCTTATATCATTGAAACCGACGCGAGCGATTTCACAGTAGGTGCCGTCTTACTTCAAGTTGGCAAAGACGGGCGAGAACATCCCGTCGCTTATGACTCACATAAGTTGGGTCAAGCTCAACGAAATTACCCTGCCCAAGAAAGGGAATTGTTCGCAATTATCCGTTCTTGGCGCAAGTGGAGGAATTACGTTGAGGGTGCGGTACAAGATACTATTGTACGAACCGACCATGTCACTTTGACATATTTGCATAAACAGGCCCTCCCCACTAGACGACTACTTCATTGGATCGAAGAGTTTGGGGAGATGACAATCAAAGTTGAATATAAAAAAGGATCAACTAACATTGTCCCTGATGCTCTTAGCCGCCAAAGCGATCATGAACTCTTGGTAATTCATGATTGCAAATCGGGACTTCGTGACCCTACGGATTGGCCGCTACTCATTCCTTATATCAGGACACTACGCGAGTTACCCAAATGGGTTACTCCGGGAGTAATGGAGACAGCTATTCGCAGTTCTCACGAATTTGAGTTCGATCCTAAAGAGGAGACTCTTATTTGGATTGGTAATCAACAGGAAAGAAGCCCTTTTATTCCGTTTTACCAAAGGGCCGAACTTATGGACGTTCTTCATCGTAGGTATGGCCATCGAGGAAGAGATGGGACTCTCTCTCTCCTTCGAGATCGAGGATGGTGGCCTGGACGTTACAAAGATGTTGAAACTTATTGCAAATTTTGTCCGGAATGTCAAATATACGACGCTCCCGATAAAAGCCAAGAAACGGCTAAGCAAATGCCTCTACCACCTGTTGACCCGTTTGAAAGGTGGGCGGTAGATTTCATATCTCTCCCAGAGAGTGTGGATGGCTACAAATGGATCCTTACCATGATTGATCATGGTACAGGATGGCCGTTGGCGATTCCTATGAAAACAGCCACTTCGGCTAATGTGGCGGAAGCTTTGGTTAGAGATTTGATACAAGTTTATGGGGTGCCTTCAGAAATTCTGTCGGATCGCGGAAAGAACTTTCTTTCCAAAGAAATGACGGCCTTCTACGAAGGATTTCATGTCCACAAGTTAAACACTTCGGGATATCACCCTCGTTCTAACGGGAAATGCGAGCGTTTCAATGGATTGTTAGAAAAAGCCTTGTTTAAAGCCAATACTTCCAAAGACCCGGCTAGATGGCCGGAGTATCTCGCCGAAGCCTTGTTTGCCGTTTGGGTGAACAAGAGTACCGTCACTGCTTGGTCTCCTTTTGAGCTTCTCTACGGAGTCAGCCCTCGACTTATTGGCGATCCAGCTAAGTTGAGGCCTCGGGAATTGGACAGTGATCCCTCCTGTCAGGAGGTTAGACTGGAGAAACTTCGTGAGGCACGGAAGCAGGCCAGTGAGGCCTTGGTTCAACGTGCCGCGACGAACAAAGCTAGGTTCGATGGCCAATTCGAACCAGATGAGGCGACGGGTAAAGCTCGTTCAAAAGTTGTGGCCTATAACATTGGCGATAAAGTAAAGCTTTGTAACGAAGCCCACACTAAGGGAGAACCTCATTGGTTCGGGCCGTTCGAGATCTTTGATTCTCTTGGTCTTAATGTCTACACCCTTAGCGATCATCGCCATTCGTTATTTCCTCATCCCATTGGGGGAAATCGGTTAAAACCTGCCCTGGTTCGCGAAAAGGACTTGGGCAAAGCGTGGGCTCTTCCTCCAAGGTTGATACAAGAAATCACCAAAGAGGATCTACAAGTTTCGAAGATTCTTAAGATGAAGGCGAAACGGTTAGCAAAAGCTCAAGAGGTTGCCGTCCCTACCCGCATCCGTTTGGTGGGGAGATTCGCACCTGGTGCTGGCAATGTCACAGCTGAAACACCTGTCAAACACCCTCTGTCACCACCCACTCCCGGCCAACTTGCAGATTTACCTCCAGTTTTGAGTGAACCCAAAGCTTCTCAAGTCGAGATTTCGTCCGTCAAAACACCCGACTTATCAAAACCAGCACTGCGCCGTTCAACAAGAATTCGTCAAGGACCTCGTTAGGAGTCTGTTTTCAGAAAATTTTTTCTCTCGTTTTCATTGCACTGTTACGGTTATCAATTTTCCTTTCCTTCTCTGTAGGTTTACTTCTGTTACATAGACTGTGCGATTCAGGAGTATTGCTTGTATAAGAGGGGGATAGTTGTAGCAGGGCTACTTCTTAGTCCTAACTACAATAGGTTACAACGGTCGTTATACTAATTAGATACCATACCGTTACCTTATAAACTAGCCTGGCCCTCATTTGTAAACCAGCTAGATTATATCTCAGCAAGGCGCACAAGCCTTTTACTTTGTACGCCTTCCTTTTTTTTTGTCTCATTGATGTCATCGGCTGTTTGTGCCTTGACAATCACTTTGTATAAATATCGAAAGATTCTCTTGTTATTCAAACTTTTGGTATCTTATCTTTTATCACTTTACTTTTGCTTAAAACTTGTTTTCGCATCTTTTGTCTTTTCAAACCTTCTGTTATCAAACTTCTTTTTTCTTATCTTAAAGATCCCATTATTGCATTTCTCTGAAAGAACAATTTAGAATTACTACTTAAAAGCATCTACGTGCTTTGTCCTATACTTTAGAACTCAGCCGTCCCCTTTTAACGTTCTTCTACTTCAATTGTCTTTCCTCAAAGCATAGATCTGTGATCTTTACTTCTTTGTCCATATTCTTCTAAGCTCCCCCTTAAGGTCACTGGATCTTATCACTTAACGTGGGTACCTATCTCCACCCCGTTACACAAGGAACAACCTTCTCGGTAGGTAACACATCATAGTCATACCGTGAAACATTGACTGGTATGATCACATTGTCCAAAGTGGAAATCAACCACAATGCCTGTCACTTGCTTGATCAATGCGATGTCAAACATTGATGGGTAGTCATAATGGCAAAAGCTAACCGTGATGGCTGGATTCAGTGGAGACCATCAAACAAATCAAAGTAGTAAATGTACCTACATTTGTACTGCACATCCTAGTTGTCCGGACACCCTGATGGGACTGCTAGATCTCTTGCATCTCACACTAGCTCATGTCATATCAGGTTCAATCCCATTAGAAGTTGTAGTCTTTTGAGGAAAAAAGATCAGCCGATCTGACAACTCACATGGGGATTGTGTGTTTCTGCTATCAAGTGCTCATTTTTGACTTTTCAAAGTCACACCCCCAGTGTGCATGTTCCATTGAAATTCTTTTTGAAAAAGGTGGAAAGGTACAGTCATCAGTGGTGGATGTGACTCTTGAGCTATTGCCTTGATTTCTAAATGATTTCAATATTTAGACACACACACTACAGTTGATTTGATAACCTGTTCCTCCCCTCTTGTGTCATTTTGAAGCAGCTTTGCCAGAAAATCGGGGTAAGAGTTGAAAAATAACTGTGCTGAAACCAGGCTGGGCCGACCCTGGATCTCTCCCAAGCTGGCGCACCCAGAAGCCCCCCAAGGGTGCATCTTTCACACTGTGCCCAGCACAAGAGCCTGAATACTGTATGTCTTCACCCCGCCAATTCCCAATACTGAGACAATTGGGGTGTGGCTTCAGCATTCCTTTGAGGAAATAGTTGACAAAGTCCCCCCTCTGATGACACCCTTGGAGAAGATACTTATGGCTTACAACCAGATTCACATGTGATAAGGATGTGAAATCCAAGGGTTTTGACTGCTCTGCATCCCATCCTCCTTAAGCACCCACCACTCAATCTTTTGAGAACTTGAGCCACAAGGATTCCCTCTATCTTGTACATATAATATAGCTTCACATAAATCATACCTCATTCATAGATTTTTTTTGTCAAAAGGATCCCAAAGAATGTAAAATTTGGAAGCCTTGTTCACATCAGTGTGGTGGCAATTTGCTCTCATGTTGAACCAAAATTTAGATATCAGACACCAAAGCTGAGAGACAGATATAACTATGCCAATACAAATGATTGTGTATGTACAAGTACATTTGGAAAAGATACAACACATTTACTCCGCCGGCCCTGACTAATGTGTCATATCTTTTCCAAATAGACTTGTACATATGTGTAGCTGCTGCAGATTTGAGTATAGAGATTTCAATTTATTGAAGAATGAATCCTTCCAAAACATAAATTGAATGACAATTCAGAAGAATCCAAAGGGGGCACAAGGACAGGAACAAGTATGCTGTCACATTGTATAAGCACACCTTGAAGATCTGGATTGTGCATGTGGTGGTGGAATTGATGTTTAGATATACTCTCTGCCATGATTCACATTGTATCACAAGATTTTCAAGTTTCAAGCCCCTTTATAGGGGTAAGAGTTTGGAAGTTTGGATGGGCTTGTATCAAGCTAGAGGTAATAGGGTCTAAGCAAGTCAAAGTCACTCGGGGAATTTACCACAGGACACCAAGGCTAATATCTCATTGCCAAGACAAATAATCCAATATATGAGCTCAGAATTTGAAATGAACTAAGACAGATAAAGGTATCAGAACAATCTTTCAGGTTCACAAATTACATGAGGCAGGTCAGTATACATTTCACCACTCCATCATAATGATGACTACAATCAATGTTCAGCGAAGCATTCCACTGCTTGTACTCACATAAAGAACTTTGCCAGACATGATGATCAAGACCCAAGACACAACACAAGAATCACAAAGATACAGAATACTATAAAAAACTCAAATGTTGCATCAAAGCCACATTTTTTTACAGACAACTCATCTATCTGGATCACAAGCTACATTGGGAAAGCTAATTTATATCAAGAAGAAACAAATTTAACAAAAACATTTGAAAATTCAGCTTGTAAAAAAGGTAATGAATCAAAAGATTGAAGACACCAAATTTTCACAAATTCATAAAAGAGCAAAAAGTGATCAAGGCTAACATTGTGTTTAGTAGATAATAAAAAAATGGGTAAAATGAAATAATCAAGAGCCAGAAGGGCAGGGGAGGGAGAAGCTTAAAGAGACTTTTGACAAGAGATTTTTTTGGTGAAAATGAGATGGATTAAGAGATCAGCCAAATGTTTCAATACTACAATCAGAATGGGAAGGAGGGGCAATCATGCTGACATCCAAATTACTTGTTCACAACAACTTCTAAGAATTTCTAGAATACCCGATGCTGTGAGATTTACACCTTGGCCCCATTTCCTTGTGTCAATACCCGTACCGACTGTTGATCACGAAGTGGTTCAACCGTTTTCTTGATAACTTTGAAGTCAACATCCCTTTGTCCGGACATCGAAAGCTTCAAACCTCATGACGATCACTACGAATCCAACCATGAACAGTATTTCGAATAGACAAGATAGACCGCAGACCTCACGTAAATGTGGTTGGCTCCCACTCGAACTCGTGTCGCACATCGTAGAAATCTTCGTCAATCAACTATCTGTTGAACACGAGTGGCAACCTGAATGGCCTGATAGCATTACCACTGACCCCTTCCTTTCGCAACCGGCTACCTCTGAACTCCTCCGCTTGCGATTAGTTTGCAAAATCTGGGCTCTGGCTGTCACTCGCATCTGCTTCCGCGCGGTTTGGTCTCACGATTCTGTCATCGGTCTAATTACAAGTCCAGTGCTGGAGCTAGATCTCTCCTCCTTTGTCAAGCGGCTTGCGTTCAAAGATTGGTCGTCGAAGCCGGAGCCAGAAGAGGTAGAGTGGCCTGTGCCAGTTGATGTGACGCCTGGATCTCACACAAACACACATGAAGATCCAGATATGATGGCACCCCCGACGGTCGATCATCTGACGCCCGTTTCTCGAACAAAGACACCTGAAGTCCTAGATCCGATGCTATACCCTAAGGCAACCACGGAACAAGTGATAGAATTGATTGCGTTGATCGGTCAAAACGCAACAGAGCTTCATCTGAAAATATCTGGTTCGATTATGGTTACGCCAGCGCTTGTAAAAGCTGTGGGGAGCATCAAAGGTCTCAAGACACTCAGTATTCAAGGACCACGACAGCATCAAAGACATGACGGTTTTGATGTTCGAGCGTTTTCTGATCTTCTTGCCGTTGCCCCTAACCTCGAATGCTTAATCCTGAACGGTTGCAATCTACAAAATTTGACATTGGCACCCACAGCCTTGTCAAAACTGAAACATCTCGCCCTCATTCATTGCTTCTGGCCTGAGAACATCAGACCAATCGCCGTCATATGCGCCTCGGCAAAGAAGAGTTTGAAGTCTTTTGAGTTGCTGGTTGGGGAGCCTGGTCTAGATTTCTTAAGGGAATCTTCGGAAATGACGACAATGTTTCAAACCAGCCTGAACGCAATTGAAATTATTTCTTGTGGTTCAACTATGGATGACTTCTCTAGGGAGATCGACTGTTTCGAGTACCCGCGACTTAGAGTTTTACACGATGTAGACAGCTCAGACCCCTCCCGTTATGATTCAGATGAACCTACGGGGACTTTGCCAATCTTCCGACACGTCCGAACGCTTGTTCAGCCAATCGATGATGGGCAACATTTTTGGAGATGGACTTTAGAGAAATGCACTTTAGATCGTACTCCGACCCAACACTGGACACGTCATTGGAAGCCACCTAAACTTCAACTTTTGATCTTTACCACACCGCGCAAGAAAAATTACACGATATTGAGTGCTAAACTGGTTGCAACTTTGGAGTCACATGGGATTCGTTGTCGTTACATTCCCGGAATAAAACCTAATGAAATCTTGGTCAGTCAATCTTGATGGTTTAGATCAGCTCAATCTATAAATGCTGAATGTCTTGTTCCCCAATGTACAGGATTTGGATTTGGAGTTGAATGGACCGGTGGAATGAGTTGATGTACTTGCTGTATAAAATAATATCATCTATACTGCTATAATCTCGTTCTGTGAACTAGTACCTTTGTCATAGAAGAATGTATGGAACACGTATCATATTCGCTTGTATTATTGTAGTTACTATGCTCTAGATAGCTTATACATAGGGGACTATCGTCATAGATCATAGTACCACAATGATTTAGCTAATAATTTCAGCTGTAGCCAAACCATGGTAAAAACGACCTTATTCACGGATATTTAAATAGAAATGAGATAAGATCATGGTTTCATTATAAATCACTTGGAGATTGATTAAACAATTTCCAAATGACTTCGGGAATACCGATGAGCTCTTCAAATTCCAAAGTCAGAGAGTTTGAATCAGGATGCATTGAAAGACCATCGGTGCTCATCCTGTTTGTTAAAGACTTGATGCTCTTTCAGAAAGCGAGGCCACTGCCTTCCAGATACGTTCGTAGATAAGTGACATTGTTTTTATCTTTCCTCGTCGAAGATTCCATCCTTGTGATTATCTGGATTTGTCTATTTTTTCTGTTGAGGAAGTTGATTATTTAAAGCAGTTAAAATTGTTTTTGCCGATCCTTTCAAGGAAACCGATGTTTGAGGAAATAAACAACCAGAAAGAAATGAAATCACAAAAAATAACACATCAAAGAGCATTGACCAGCACACAAATTTCAAGGGCATCAAATCTCATCACATTTATCAATTACAAGGAAACAAAACCAAAACCCAACACAAACAATATAGAAAGAATGATTTGCTTTTATCCACTACCTTTGACAACCAACTTGATGATTTGAGAAATTAAAATAAACAATCTTGCGGATGAACTGAACGTGGTGAAGTGAAAGAGTGATCTAAGAGTAGTCTGAAACTGGCATCACTTGGTTCGTTTTATATATTAGGCGACATTGCCTCATTTGTGCTTTTTGAGTTAAAACGGTTTGAACTCGACTTGGATGTTTTTTTTGATCGTGTACTGCTTCTGCCTCATCTTAATTCTCAGATTGATCGCACTATCATCACATCATTTACTCTCCTTTTGAAGTGTTCAAACCCTCAAACTTACCCAAATCACAAATATTTTGCTATGCTTTGTGTATATGTTTTTTGTAATGATTATAATGATACTCTTATTATCGATTCTGAACTGACAGCTCTGTGATATCAGTTAGATGGTAAGTCAAACGGAAGCTCCATGTGTGAGAAGCTCCTGCTAGTACAAAAGGTCCAGTGATAAAGGATCAGTACTTGACCTGATGCTGATCAAGTACCTTTTATTCCGAAGAGGTCAGACTCTACGTCTCAAATTTTCACACGTGTTGATGCGAATAAATAGAGAGAGATCAGTATTTATAAATTTAATAGTAATTGTCCAGAGTTTTGTGTAGCCAACAACAAGTCAAACATCTCGAATAGGCGTCACATGGTGCATGGACAAGGTGGAATGACTGTTAAGGGAATGAACGAAAAGTTACAAAGCAGGGAATCATCCAAGAAATGGATCGCATGATCCTTGAGTTCCTCGTACATTATTCTTGGGATGCTGCGAGATGCCAATCTTCTTGGTGTCAAGATTTGGAAATCTCCGTGCAACGAGTGCATACTAACGACAAACAAACCGTCTTCAGTGAAGGAAGCTTTTGATTGATAACAAAATATGACTGACTAATGAAGAATCCTATACGATCAGCAGGGCATCTATAAGAGGTCCCCCCGGAGTTGGTACAGACTGAAAAGTCCCCAACCACATGCGGAATTTGGCATCAGATACTTTCTGATGAATGGAAAGACAAGTGGTTGAAGACTCCTGATACAGACCCCAATTTTTCATTTGTCGGTCCCAAGTATATAGCACGCATTTTTGATCACTTTCGCCTTTGTCCGTTGATCCTATCAATTGGCATCCTCGCATTAATGTCCATTTATTGCCTGACATCGAAATATAAAAAATGGATGCCCGTTGATCAGCTATACAATGTCACTTTATAGCGAGAAGAATGGAGATCCGGTTGAAAACAACTTGCCGTCAGACCAGCACATTGAATATGGGCACGTATAAAGATTAGTCTGATGGGAATCCTCTTGCCCCATACGGCATACTTTCAATGCGAGCGAACATGAAGCAGATCCACGTTAGCCCTGGGTATAGTCTATAGATCATACTGGAGATATAAAAGAATGGCAATTTAAATGAAATGTACATACTTCCAACGTTTCCGTCGCCTGCAAACCCTTCGAAACATGTATACTGGTAGATGTCAGGATCCACTTCCTGTTTTGCTTCATAAGATTAAAGGTACAAGAGTAGCAGGGAGATCTTTGCAAGGAGCCGGAGCATTTTCGGCATGGTCAGAGAGAGATAAAACAAATTTCGATTGTCAGAGTTTGGAATGCGCAGGAGATGATCAAAGGAACATGATTTGGGAGGAAGCTCAGGTGTGAAACCGGATGTTACTGTACATATCAGAAGGTTGTTTGCTCCTACTAGAAAGGGCGTCAGTACTCGGCTCAAGGATGTTTCCTTCTCAGCACGCGGTGAAGCGAACGGCGGGGTAGCGCCACCCGTGTTCAATCTTTAGCTCCGTTGCGTGTTCTGGTACAAAACACGGTTTAGGGTGGCGCCATCCGGGTGCAATCTTGGCCGATTGTTGTGTTTGCACATAAAATGTACGGCTATAAATAGCCTTGGCCGCGGGGACCAGGTGATTGAATTTGAGGATTGAAGTTGATTTGATTCGAGAAAGCGCCACCTGGCCCGGGTACAATCTTGGCCTTCTTTATATGTTTTGCTCGGATGAATCCTCGGGATTTGCGTATATAGCTTTGGGCAGAAGGACCACGGTATAAGTTGAGTTAGGAAGTCATAACCTGAGATAAACGGAGTTGAAATTTTGATTGACTGGATAATTGATCTTCTTTTTCCTGTTGAGGACTGAAGATGTTGGGTCCTATGTGAAAATCATACCTTGAATTGCATGTTCAAGTTGATGACGAAGCCCACTCAGTTCTCACTAGTTTCTCTTACTGATAGAAGCTGATCGAAATCAATACATTAGTAAGAAGAAAATTGTCAAATGAGCCAAGATCAACCGTTGAAAAAGATCTTGACCTTCACTGGGATTGGAATGGGAAATGCTTCAAGAATTGGTCCATATACTCTAGAACGAGTCTTATCATTTGAGTGCGTATAAGGAGTGGAGGAACTGCTCTTGATTTCCTCCCTTGTCTGCGCTAACTGTGTACACTTGGTAACACCAGTGAAATGAAATAAGTAGCTATCAATCTTGTACTTTGTTATATAGAAAGAATTAATGTTGAGGTAGGATGAATATGGAAAGCTCAACGTACGCGGAGTCACGAGTGCCATGTTTGACTTGAGAAAGTCCCGCATGATATGCCTGGAAATGATTGAGAGATCTGAGCTGAAATTGTGCTGTGTTAGGTTGCAATCTCTTGGTGAGAGCATGGTCATGACTGAAAAAAATGGTCTGCAGACTCAGTCACCTGAAGGCACATATTTAGTTATTTCATTGTTGAAACAGTGGATATCTCACATTGCATAGCTTATGTCACATGGTCATATCATATATGATACTCATCAAGTTGAGCAAGACCAGCCAGTCGGTTGAAGACAGATAAACACATGCCAGTGAGGTAGGTTGGAGTTGATGTTACCACTGGTTTAGCAAGAGTGAGCTCTTTGGCAAAGTCTTGGGATTTGCAAGGAAATGCAAGAGATGATCAGCATGAAGCTTTGAAGTGCACTGTAGGCCAAATTCAATGAAGAATCACTGTTGGTGGCCTTCAAGACCCTGCTCAGATGTTTGATTGATGTGCATATCAATCAAAAAAGAAAACAAAAGATCAGAGAAAGTCAAATTAGTGAAGATAAAAAGATATGTTTGAAATGTATTGTTGATAGTAGAATTTGGAACTTCATGATTGATTCTGAAATGATCTGGCAAATGTGGATGCTAGATTTGATGATAAGACTAACTATCCTTGATCCTGATCAATGAGAAAGGTGTTTTAACAAATATCAATATCATCCCTTTCTTTTCTCCTTCTGAAGTGCTCATAACCTATCAAAACCACACATATTTTATAATTCTTTATATTTCATTTATGATGATTACAATGACACTGTTATTATCAATTCGATTCTGTTTCTTGATTCTTTTGCTGCTTTTCTTATGAATTCATGTTTTTTAGTCCACCAGTTTTTGACCTTTGGAATTTGTAACGAGGTTTTTATGTATGGATCATGCATATAGCTCTGTGATCTCAATTAGATGGTAAGTCAAACGGAAGCTCCATGTCTGAAATGCTCCTGCTATTACAAATGACTCAGTAAGAACAATTATCAAAATTTTACTTGATTCTCATCAAGTATGTTTCCAATTTAAAGAGATCAAACTCTATGTCCCCAATTTTCATTCTGATTTAAATAAATAGAGGAAGACAAGTATTTATGAGTTCAATATCAATAGTCCACAGTTTTGCGTAGCCAAAATCTCATATGGGTATCACATGTTGAAAGGACAAGGTGAAATGCTTGTTAAAGAAAATGAATGAGAGGGTATAAATTATGGCATCATCGAAAAAATGGATCACAAAATGCTTGATTTCCCTGGATACTAATCTTAGAATGCTATGAGTTGCCAAAGCATTTTTTCGGTCTCACTGTTTGGGTACTTCTGTGCAATCATTGCATGCTGAAACAAAAAGAGCTGATTTCAGTAAAAGAAGATTATGATTGATAACAAAATCTGACCCACAAATGTAGTCGTGTATAGTCTCAGGAGTATTGGGGCATGCATAAGTCCAACCACCTGAGTTAGTACAATCTGAAGATTTCGGATTTCACAAGTCAAGATGGCATATCAATTAAAGAGACTTGATCAGGCATAGACAGATGAAATGGTTTGAAGAACTTATGATACAGACCATAATTGTTCTTGACTACATTCCAATTATATTGAGCACATTTTTGTTTACTTTTGCCTTTGTTGGGTGATCCAATCAATTCGCAATCGGTCATGGTGACCCATTTGTTGTTATCTAATATCGAAATATATAAAGTAAGTCAATAGATAGCCGTTGATCAGCTTCAAGATGTGATTTTATATCAAGGAGATGGTGAATTGGGTTAGACTTGGAGAATACTTACCGCCAGACCAGCATCCGGAATATGGGCACTTAAAAACACCTGTGCTCTTGTAATCTGGTTGATACAATCGGCAATCTTTTGACGCAAGTAGGAAACGTGAAGCAGGTTCGAGTTAGCTCTGAATATAGATCACACTGAAAATATGTAGAAGGCGATGAGAATCTAAATAGATTTGATCACGTACACCCATCGCTTCCTTGGACTGAAAACCCATGACCACACGACCAACTGTAGATGGTATCGGCCTTTGTGCCATGAAAGCAAAGGGCAAGGAGTAGAAGGGAGATCTTTGCAAGGAGCTGAAGCATTTTCTCGGTATGGTCAGAGAGAAGTAAAATGAACTTTAATTGTGTGAATTTGACTTTTGAGAGTAGGGTAAGAGATTCAAAGCCGTTGGGTTAACTTGAGAGGAAGCCTAGATTTATAAGATGTTTGCTACCACTGGAAATCGCTTGATCACTCGGCTCAACTTCAAGGGCGTTTCTTCCGGCACGCGGTGAGCCGTAAAGCTGAGTAGCGCCACCCGCGTGGAATCTTCAGCTCCGTTGAATGCCGTCATACAAGACAGGCTTTATGGCTTTGAATATTGACCGGGAAGAGAGAGCAGACCAGAAGCTTCGGTGTGAGTTATGTACAACATTGAATCGATTTGAGGTGTCGCCCAGCCAGCTGCAATCTTGGCATTCTTTTGTAGGGTGGTTTTTGTCATTGGAGACACATGATATGATCATGAATGAGTTCAAGTAGGAAGCCAAATCCCGGGATAGAAAGCGTTGATATTTAAGTGACTGGATGGAAACATACTCTTTTTTGTTTTGAGGCCTGAAACCATGAACTCTTGAGTGATTCAAGTTCATGAATATTCTTCTAAAGTTGTTTCTCTCAACTATCTAACCTCTTTCCAAAAAAATAATACCACAATAAGTATACAATTATCAAATTACTCATAGATGAAACTATGAAAAAAAGATCTTGAAACTCTTGTTGACATTAGAATGAAAAACAAGTGGCATGAATTGGTTCATATATATTTGAATGAATGTTATTTGATTAATTAACTTTAGTCTTGAATTGGATGACGATGATAAGATGTAAGGAATTGTTCAAGTATGATTGTGATTTTGACTTTTGGAAAAGGATCACCTGAAAGAAACAAGATGATTCATCCATCAACTTCAAAAAAAGGTTTATCATGTCTTGTGGAAGAAGATCAACTAGACTTCCTTTTCATAAAGATTCACCAGATCTGACTTTCCCACTGGGTTTTTTTTGTTTAATGTTGAGAATGAGAGCCACACAGAGATTTCTTGGTGCAATGCTCACCAAATCATCATGAGTAATTCGAATGTTCAAATGAATATGGTGGGTAGTGTCTAAAAGCGTGTAATGTCGGGCCGGGCAAACAAATCAAAAAAACAATTACATATGTAATTTCATACGTAGGATTGAGATGACATCAACAGTGGTGTATTTATCAATTCCTTTCCTCAATCATCAATTTTGTAACCTCTTCACTTGAAAACAATCAGCAAATAATCTTTTCAATGCGGCCAACTAAAGCCCAAACAAGTCAGCGCCGTCGTTGGCAAGCATCAAAATTCCCTACAAAACAATCAAAAGCAAGCCAAGTCAAGGCTAGGCTTCATCAAATTAGCAGCATTGATCCAGCGTCTGATTCTGATTCAAGCTTGTCGTCTCTCTCCGAGCCTGATCCAGATGTGGATTCAGCCCTAGAATCAAATTTATATCCAGATTCAGATATTCAGTCCCATTCAGGATCCAATGATCACTCGGACTCTGATATGAATGTAGATTCAGAAGCTGCAAATTGTGTTCCATCTCTTATCAAGACACCCTTTCAAATTGAATTGATTGAACAAGAGCACAAGGAACTTGAGGATGCCCTTGTGGATGCTTCAACTTACAGTAAAGCACATGCAGCTTCACATGCAGCTTCCATCAAAGATTTCAATCAACTAGGTCTCATACGCGAGTTCAACAACTGTCGACGCATGCTAAACCTTACTCATCCAAAGTCTTGTGCCATGCAAGCTTCTTTTGACACAGTTGAATCTTATCGGCTTAGACAAGAGGATCCACCAAAGGACGGAGGCGTAATACGACTTGCTGCTAGGATTCAAGCAAATGCCAAACATGTCATTTCTCACCGCCATCTTTCAATCAATCACCAGGGATTTGCATCTCCACATCGTTCGATCTTGGATAATACCGAAGTGCTGGAATCAATCACTGATTGGATTGGAAGTTTACCCGTTGGGAAGGTATTTTGATCAATCTTGAAAATCTACTTATTTGGTAATCAACTAAATACATGATTTCTTCATTGTGCTTAGGTTACACCAAAAAAACTTGCTCGCTATGTGAACAGCACAATTCTCCCCAACTACGAACAATATCAAGACACAATATCTATCCCAACAGCCAACAAATGGATGCATTGAGTTGGATTGTATGTCCAAGAGTACAAGCGATGCCTGTATTACGATGGACACGAACGGGCAGACATTGTGATCTATCAAGAGAAGTTTATTAATGAGATTCTGGACTTATGTAAACGCGAACATTCTTACACTGGCGAGATGATGGATCAGAAAGTTTATGCAGAAGTTGAAGATGGGACTCGCGACATTGTGCGTGTGTATCATGATGAATCAACCATACATACAAACGAGCAACCTCGATCAGCTTGGATGGCCGATAAGGACTGCGCACTTCGTACGAAAAGTGTTGGAAAGTTAATACATATCTCGGACTTCATCTGTACAACCACTGGTCGACTCATTTTACCTAGTAATTCAAACTCGACTCTTCCTTTCAGAGACGCTGCAGTCACAATCTATCCAGGTGCTAGGGGCGAGGGGTGGTGGGATTGTCAGCAGCTCATAAGACAGATTGTGGACCGTGCCATCCCAATTTTCAACCACAATCACCCAAACTCTCAAGCTTGTTTTATTTTTGACTGCTCTTCAGCACACAAATCTTTCTCTCTGGATGCGCTTCGGCTGTCGAAAATGAATTTCAAATCGGGTGGTGTTCAAGAAAAACTCCGAGACACAATCATACCCTCTGACGATCCAAACATCCCACCTGACCTTCGTGGAAAAGTTCAGTCAATGAACTTTTCTGCAAATTATGTAACCACGACTCCTGCTAGAAAGTCCAAGAGCGGAAAAGTTTTTGAGAAAGAGGAACTTGCGGGCAAGCCAAAAGGAGTTCAACAGATTCTCATTGAACGTGGCTTATGGGATTACTACAACAAGTCTCGTTCTTTGAGAGGTGAAAAAGAGTTGATTTTTAAATGTAAAGACTGTAAGAAGACTGGGCGTGCTCAGGACAAGATTGCTTGAGCTGAGAGACTGCTTAGACACGCCAAAATTCCCGCTGGAACAGAACAAGCAAGACCTAGCGAAGCTTTACCTGAAGTTGAGATTCCGGACTGTTGCGCATACAAAATCCTATCGACACAATCCGACTTTGCAAATGAGAAACCGTTGCTTCAACAGGTGATTGAAGACGCTGGTCACATCTGCAAGTTCCTCCCTAAATTCCACTGTGAATTGAACCCGATCAAACTCCTTTGGTGTTACATCAAACCACGTAAGTCTGTATGTTTTGTCACTTCGTTTCTTTTAACAATCACTGACAACAACCTCGATTCAGGCTATCGAGAACACAGTGATGAGTGTTCAAGCCTTCAAGAAGCAAAGGATTGGTTTGAAGAAGTCAGGCAAGCCTGTCCTCTTGTAACAATCCGACGCTTCTTTCGCAAGACCAATAAGATAATGTCTGACCTTCTGTAAGTCCAACCTTTTTCAAACTCGTGTGATTGTTTACTCATTTTGATTGTTTATAGGGATTCCATGAAACTCGATCCTGGTCCCAACCTCAACGCTAAAAGATATACATCACATCAAACCATTGCTCGCGACTCTGCAAAAGATGCTAACCTCAAAGTTTAATTTTTCCTTTTTTCCTTTTTTCCTTATATCTTTATCAAAAATCGATTTTTTTTCTTAGTTTTTGCTCACAATATTTGGCAAGGTCACTATGTACTTGAAAAAGTCTCATTGAAGAGTTGCTTCCAACTACCAGACCAATGCTGACCTCAATGTATATATGTTTTTTTTCCTTTTTTTTAATATTTTCATCAAAGACCAATTTTTGTCAAAGATTTTTTTCTCACTGATTGACAAGGTGACAAAGCACCAGGAATTGTATCGTTTTTGATTTTTTATCGAAAACTACATTCTATGAAAATGATTTTCTCTACTGTAAAAATCGATTGAATTTAGAAGGTTGAAAAACAATATGTTCGATACAATTCCGGATTGCTATTGATGTGAGGATTCTAAATATACCCTCGGCTTCAAAATTGGATCATTTTTTAAGGTTGTATAAAGTTTTTTCTCAAAGTACCCGATTTCACGCGTTTAGGCACTACCCACCATACTAGTTGTTGGTGACTCGTAATTAACAGATGGGAATGTGGGAAATTCGGACTTGTAAGAAACGCACCGGTACATTTGCTGACGGGTCGGTTTTCCTTTATCATTTCGTTTTACAGCAATGATGTCATTGCGCTGTTTACCACTCAATCCACTTCACCGAATTTCTTTACATCGAGTTCATTATCACTCTTCAGTTATAGTGTTTACTTTCAAGTTGCACCCACCCACCCTTTTATTCCCATTGGTAGTCTTTTTATTCTTTATTTTGGTTTCTTTTTCACGCCAGGTTGGTTTTGTTGTTTAATATTTGAAGCCTGGTTTTGTTTTATTGTCATATCATTTTATTAGTGTTATTTTGGTTATCTTATTATCAGTTATTTCATTTTAGTATTGATATTTTTTGTTTGATTATTAGTGTTTAATCTTTTTTCTCTCTTTTCCTGTTTTTAAAGATTTTTTCTATTTTTAGGAGAGGGGACGAAGGAGGATTTGGTTGTGTTAGCAGTTACGTTTCAGTTTTGTTGGTTATGTTTCATTTTGTCCGCTAGCCATCCCGTAGGGAGATTTCATTTCATTATCAAGCAATTTTATCACCCTAGGCACTTAGCCTTGGGATTTCGCCCAAAAACCTTGCAGCGCCTTTTTCTCTCCAGTATTTTTATACTGTGTCTTGGTAAGTTTGCTGAACCACATTTCAAAAAAGTACTGTTTCTTTATCTGTAATCCGGCAAAGATTTAATCCTTAAAATTTGATCAACCTTTACTTTTTACCTATTATAAAGAGCTCAAGAAAAAAAAATATGTTCAGATAAACAATTTCTTTTCAACCAAACCTTAACTCATCCAAAAAAACAATCATCAACTTCAATTCTCAGACTACCAAATCCTCTTTCTTCAAAAAGTCTTGTAATCAAAGAAATACCTACTTTTTTGTTTGTTTATTCATGAACTCCTTTAATCATTATTCGGCTTAAAAGTTAAATTAAGAAAAATACAAAGTATAGAGATGAAGAATACAAAGTGTTTTTTTCTTTGGATAAGGTGTTGTACATTTAGAAATTATTTGAGAAAAAGAGAGAAAGAGAAAGGGATAAAGTAAGGGAAAAGGTAAGCGAAAAGGTAAGGTTTGAAGTGGAAAGGGGTTTGATGAAACCAAGTACTACGAACGTAAAAAAAATCAAATGTTTTTTTTTGAAAAAAAGTGTTGATCAAAACATTTAAAAAAAGATAAAAAAACAAAACAAAAAGTCTTAAATTTTCTCTTCAAAAATTCTTATTTTTTTAAAAAAGAAGATTCGAATAGAAAAACTATCCCTGTGAAATCCTTTTTTAACATGAAGGATTTTGGGTTCAAAAAAACCTCATGATCTTCTGAACCCCATGATGATTGATTGGATTGATTTGATTTGATGGATTTGATTTAATGGATGAGTCTTAAAAAGTTTGTTTAAGTTGAACCGAATAACATGGTTCACAAAACGGATTTGATTGAAACAAAAAAAACATTCCATTCAAGAACGGTTTCTTACAATCCTACCCCAAAAAAGAAAAACCCAAAACCCGCAAAATCAGTACCGAAGCTTTTCTTGATTCGAAAGAAAAGGGGATTGAATTTACTTTACAAACAAAACAATCTTCATGCCATTGTTTACCCATCGCATTAATAATATCACCGACCATTGAAGTCTTACAACCAAAACACTTTGGTTTATGTAATTTAAGATGACAAGATTCACAGTAGGGATAACCTTTATGTAAAACAAACGGATTAGGTTCGATCATCTTTTTCACCGTCGATTGATTTGGTTGTTGAGGTTGGGGAGGAAGACTTCGTTTTGAGATTCGAGATGATTCTTCTAATGATTTCGGATCTAAGAATGGATCTCCACATTCGGCACAAAATAAATGTAATTGATGGTAATGTCTAGGTGATCCGATTAGGTTGGGTTCGTCTAGGGTTACATATGATTCATCTGTGATGGATGTATTACAATGATGACATTTTAAACTAAAAAACTATTTTTTAACCCCCCAAACCCAAAACAAAACCGCAAAAAAAAGTCAGTATGGTTTTTTTGGAAATGGAAATTAAAATAGGAATTTACTTCATCATAATCTACACCACAATAAGCTTTTCCTTGATGTTCATAAAAGGCTACGTGTTCTAAAACCATCAAACAATGTTCACACTTAAAACAATCGGGATGCCATCTTTGGTTTAAAGCGTTGACGATCCTTCCTGCAATTAATTGATGACATCCTCCACAGAATAAGGATTGGAGTTGGTTAGGTTCTGTGGATGAGGTTGGGTCTGAAACTTGGCTAGTTGGGACTGGAACTGAAGTTGGAGAGGAGGGTGAGGGTTCGGTGACGAGCAATGGAACTGGGGTTGGTCTTGCTTTTGAATTTGATGGATTTGATTCGCGATTCGTTGAAGAGTCGTCTTCTTCTTCAGTAGTCACGATGATTGGGACTGGTACAGAATTCGTTCCAGGTTCAGGAGTAGAACTAAGCGTGATGGTAGGTTGGGATTGGTTTATACTTTCGTCTTCAGATTCTTCGTCTATTCCTTCTATCTTCAATACAGGTACAGAAGGGACCACAGTAAGTTCTGGATTCGATGAGATAGTTATCTCAAAAGGTTCAGGTGTAGGTTTTGAAGCTGGTCTAGAAGGTTGAACAAGATTGGAAAAAGTAGATGGAGTTTCTTGATAGGTTCGTTGTACGTTCGGATCAGAAGGTGGAGCTGGTAATGGTTTTGAAGGAGTTGTGATTAGAGGTTGATGGACTGTTTCTTGGTTCGGTAATGGTCTGGCTCCTTGAAGACTACCTGTTCTGGTAATCCGATTGGAAGTTGAATGATAAGATCCATCTTGTGTTTGATTAGAACTGATCGGATTGATCGCAATTGATGGGTTCGTGTGGCTTGATAAGGGTAGGTTTGGTAAATTACGTTTGGGAGAAAAATGGCTTGAATGGTTTGTTGAAAGGGTTCTTGATAATGGATTGATCGAAGGATGTGAATGAGATGAGATTGGAAAGGGAGTAGGATAGTATGGGTTTGGTGGTTGTTCAAAGGTTTCTTGTGAGATTGAGTTTATGGGAATCGGATGAGATGGTAAACTTTTAGGAACTTGTTGTGGTGTTGGTGGTGGTGGTAGTGGTGGCGCTTGAGAAGATGGGTTTCTGATTGGGGTTTGGGACCATTGACTTTGAGGTTGCTGATAGTAAGGATAGGGTTGGAATTGGGTTTGAGATTGAAAGTGTTGAGGTTGAGGATGGAATTGGTTTGGTTGAAAGTGATTTGAAGTTTGTGGATAAGGATAAGGATGTTGCTGATGAGGTTGATGTTGATGATAAGAAGAAGAGATTGGAGGGACTGGTGGTAAAGGTCTTTTGATGGAACTTTGACGAGTTGCAGTAGTGATTGGTTGATAGTAACTAGTCGATTCATCAGTTCTGGGTGTTCTACTCATCTTTAAGTTGTGGGCTCTCAATCGATTGCAATCATCAAAATTCAAAATTCTCAAGTTGATCATAGACAGTTTACAACTTTACATAATGAATTTAGGTGTGCTCCGGAACCGAAGATCCGACGGATATCCGTCGGATCCGGATGTCGGAAAGAGTTTTGAAATCATCCGGTGGCCGGATAATCCGGTGGTTCGGTTGTCGGAATGGCCTGAACACGCCGGATACCGCAGCTTACGCGTGTTGTCAGGGACCCGGACCCGGTTTTTTGACCGGATATCCGTCGGATTATCCGACGGATCCGGACACCCGGAAGCCTTTGGCATCATCCGGTGGCCGGATGATCCGGCGGTTCGGATAGTCGGAATGGCTTGAGCCCCGCCGGATATCGGCCGGAGCACACCTTGATTTAAATGAAAAATTTAGAAAAACCTTATGTCCATTGATATTGGCAATGTCATTACATAAAACACCAATCTTATCCTTCATCCAATTTCTCTTTCTCTCTTGAAACTCACCACACTTCACCCATCATGACATCAGAAACACCAACCAACATGAACAAAATCATACCTAAACTCTTCATTGGAGACTTCAATTCATCTCAATCTATCAATTCATTAAAATCTAATCAGATTCAATCCATCGTTTCGGCCATGAAACAATCTTATGAACCTCCTTCTGGATTCAATTTATTTAGAGTTCCAATTGATGATACTGATAAAACTAATGTTTGTGGTCAGTCTTTTTTCCCCTTCTTTCTTTTTCTCTTTTGTAGTACTGATTTTGTTTTTCATGGGGCTTTTTTTCGGTAGAATGGTTCGATGTGGTTGGCAATTGGATTCAAGCTAGATTAGATGATCCGAATGGGATGGGTGTCTTGGTTCATTGTGCTGCTGTGATTGATTATTTCAAGTTCAACTAATCTTCTTATTAGCTTTGATGATCTTTTTTGCTAATCTTGGTTCTTCACTTTTTTTTTGGAACGGTTCTTTCGTCTTTCTATAGGGTGTTAGTAGAAGTACTACTTTGGTTGCTGCTTATTTAATGAAAGCTCAAAAATTAACGGCAGAAGGTATCAATGAATTTCAATTCACTTATTTAATATTTGATTTGAATTCTAATCTTTGGTTTTTTTTTTGGTTTTGTTCTTGTAGAAGCTGTTTTTTATATTTCTTCAAAAAGACCACAAGTTCAACCTACTGAATTTTTTATTTATCAATTAGAAATGTATGAAAGATGTAATTGTGAATGGGATCCAGCAAAAGTCAATCGAGTTTCATGATTTCATTTTTCTTTAACTTTTTCTAACTTTTGGTTTGGTTTTTTCTCGTACAGTATCAAGAACAAAGAAGATTTGTGATGGGATTTGTGGCGAATGAGATGAAAGGTGATTAGTTTAAAGTTATATTGAAAGTTTAAAGTTGATTTGAATTCTGATGAACCGTTTTGAAATTATGTTTCGATCGAAAGACGGACCTGGTGCTCAAAGTAAATTCAATTTTCAATTTCACGTATTCAAGCTTAATGAATTGATAAAATTTTGTTCGTGTTCTAGAATTAGTACTTGCATATTATCCATCACCAGCAGCTTCACCTCGAGACAAGAATACATCCGATCCATTTTCAAGTTTTACGATGACTCCATTAAATGCTGAAACGATTGCTACCAAACTAACTTCACCTAGTGCATTAACTTTCGAACTTAAACCTGATCCTCCTAAGGAATCATTCTCATCACTACCTACACGTCAAAGGTTTACTAAACGTGGTCAATCTACTTCACCTAATCCAGTGATCTTGGAATCGAAAGGGATCCCCAACCGACCTGAAGTTGAGAAATTAGGACAAGGCAAGGTGACGATCCAAGGAAAGAGGATTAGATGTAAGATGTGTAGAAGAGAATTGGCTGCAAGAGATCATGTTTTATCACATTCACCGGGTCAAGGTCAAGCTGCCTTTGCACCACAGAAAAGAGATATGACCAAGTTTAGAGAAGAAGCTATGGAGAGATTCCGATCCCAACATTTTCATTTGAACCCATCATCGACTTTACCGAATGATCAGTCTGATGAAGTCAAGTCTGATGAACCATTAGGAGGTTTAGCATCTTTACGAGTCTCGACTCCTATTACACCAAACCTAGATCAAACTCAACCTATCTCACCACCTTTATCAAACCAAAGCACGGATGAATGGTTTAAATCAAAAGTTTCAACTCAAGCTTTAATTTCACCACCTTTGATTAATTCAAAAGATTGTTCTTCTTACTTTGTTGAACCGTTAAGTTGGATGTCAAAGGTTTTGGAAAAAGGTGAATCCATGGGTAAGATTGTTTGTCCTAATTTGAAATGTAATTCAAAGTTGGGTTGTTTTGATTGGGCTGGTGTTCAATGTAGTTGTGGGGCTTGGATTACTCCGGGATTTCAAGTTGGGTTATCATTCTTTTTCTTGAGATTCTTGACTCTTTTTGTTTTGATGAATTGACTGACTTTTTTTGGTTTCGTGGTTTTGGGTTTGGGTTAGATTTCGAGATCTAAAGTGGATGAAATTTAGGATATGGACCTTTGGTTTTGGTTTCGGACTTTATTTTTTAAACTTTTTTTCCCTCAAGGTTCTTTGTTTTTCAAGGACGCTTTCGTTTTGTGGTTTGAACATCTTTTTCATCAAGATGTGCTTTTCAATTTGATATCTTAATTATTTATACATGAATGGATATCCTTTTTTTACAATTAATGAGTCAATTTTTTTTTTCGTTTTTGATTGAGGTTTGAGTTCAGTGTTTCAGTAAAATGATTTTAAGAAATTTGATTGATCTTTTGGAATCAAGTTGAAGTTTTGTTCAGTTTGAAGTTCATGAATGGGGTTTTGATTTTTTTTTACTTACTATGTACTATGATGAAGTTTTTTTTAGTTCAAGGACAGAGAATTCAGGAAGTTGAAGATTTTATATAGTTGTACCTAAAAAGATTGTTTAATTCTCCTCGTAAATCTCCTGGACCAGATCACTCTTGCGGGGGTTCAACCCAAGCTTCTGTCAAGCGAAATATACGAATTGCTGTCAAGTGATATATACGAAATGCTCAAGGTTGCGCGCGGATGGCGCTAGAACCCGATGTACCCCGAATTGAATCACGGGAAATCATGCAATCTTACCAGCCATAATCCTTTGAACTGAAAAAGTGACAAACGCCTAGGATTACACGTGGGTGGCGCTACTTTGCCGTCTGCTTCTTCATTTGAGAACTACCCTAGCCAAGGAGTTCACGCCCCCAAACCTGCGCTGTAAGTACTTCACAGGTGGTACTTCAATCGAAAAGAAGATAGCGCAAAGAGACTTTATGGCAATGATGGATCTTGTATTGCTGAAATCAAAACTACTTGATACAAAACATAAGAGAAACAAATACGTAAGAGATAACTAAGAGTTCCACACAGAAAACTGATGGATGATGAAATCATGCGATCCTACCAGCCATAAACATTGACAAACGCCTAGGATGCCACGTGGGTGGCGCTACTCTGCCGTCCGCTTCTTCATACATATATATGCCGGAGGAAGGCCACCCACCCGTAAGCCGTTCCACCGGGTCACCCTCACGCCGTGTCTATAAAGCAGTCTCTAGTCCTGATCATCTTCTTTTGATCATATCTCGCTCATTTCAAACTCTTGCAAATCAAAACCTCAAGATCAAAGTCTTTCTTTCTTTCCTGATCTACCAAAAATGCTCTACCTCATCCAAAGATCTCACTCCTGCTCTTGTGCCTGTTGGTTCATAGCCTGAAGGCGCAATGGGATGACACCATTCTTGTCTGTAGCGCAGAGTTTACACTCGATGGAGATAAGTGGAGTATGTCAATTTCATCCGAATCCTCATTGTCTTATATTTCAGACTTCAGCATGATTTACACTCAGCCTAATGTGGACCTACTTCATGTTTGCTCGCATTGAAAGAGTGTACATTGGGAAAAGATTCCGCGGTACCCAGCCCAAATCATTTTCGTTGCCCATATACCAAATGCTGGAATGGAAGTAAGTAGATTCCAAGCTAATCTTCTTTCTCCTTAAGCTGATCAATGAGTCTCTATTCAACATATTTGAATGATTTTTAGACAGTAAATGGACGAAATTTTCGGGTTGCACACGTGGTGGATCAGGACCAAGTGAACAAAAATGCGCGCAATATAAATGGGATCCAAGCAAGAACATCTATCGTCAGTATCAACCAGAATCTTATCTGTTCATTTCTCATCAAGCATCTTACACTAATATTCAATTTTTTTTTGGCGCGTTGTTCGGGAATTTTCAGATTGTACTAACTATGGGGGATTAACTTATGATTGTCCTGGTAATCCTGACACTGTGACGAGCGTTATACGTCAGTCATACTTTAATTATCATTCAAAAAAATTCTTAATTGAAAAAAGTTTGTTTCCTTTTAGAATGCACTGGGTGTGATCAGGTTTGAAGAAATCATATGCAAATACTCTTAGGATATCTTGTTGGGCTCCATGGATAGTGTGAAATCTTTCAAAACATCTTCATCATTGATTTGTTTGAATGATTCCCAATTCATAACTTGTTATCTTTACTCTTAACATCTGACTTTTTCCACAGGTATCTGCAATACACATTTAAGATGTCAATTTGCTTGTTTTTTGCCAAAACAGAACTCTGGATTAGTGTTCTTTAATTCACAAAATCTCATCTGTATTCTGCATTTCTTTCACTTTTGATTCTCATCAAGACTTGTGAAAAATTGGAATGTAGAGTCTGATTATATCTATAAAATTAATCACACTTGATGAATATCAAATGTTCTTTTTGGAAAGACAAATGGAAAAGTGGTAATTTTGAAATCAAATAAAAAAATTCTTTAAGTGGGGAGCATGTCATTTCCCCTGGCCATTCTAGTAACACAAATCAACCAACATGCAACCTGACATACCATTCAAAAATCTTTGAATCAGCCCATTTGTATCAAGGGGTTTTCTACAGCTGAGATTCTTCTGATTGCAGTGGCACTGGAAATCCCTCATAACCAAACTATAATGGTCCCCACAAATAGCTCTTGATGATGAGAAGATCTGAATATATTACATACCACACCAAGCCTTGGAAATTCAATCTTAAAGGCTAGCCTAACCAAGTCCCTCTCGGAGAGCAAGCCTCACAAAATTTGGCAGTTTGAAGTTTTCATACCATATTGGCCACAAAAGACAACACAATGGGGCATTCACAAAGTATGAGCAACACAATGGCAAAGTTTGATCTTGTACCACAAGCCCCAGGGGCACAAGGAACCAGTTTTGAGTGCAAGTTGAGGAAATATCTTATTAATATGCACCACAAAAGAAGTGTTGACCAGAATTCATATCTGGAAAAGATCTCTTCTCAAAACTCCAACCTGGTTCCCCAACCATTCATCAGATATCATGACTTCGACTTTTGAAAAATGTCATGTTTGGTCAAACAGTCAACAGACTCCTACTGAGTGTGGTGTTCCATCTAATCAAAGACACAAAGATTTTCCACCAGCAAACATGATGAAGGTCTGTCAAGTTCAGCGGATGTCCATCAATCAGGAGAAGACAGCAACACTACCACAATTACTTTACCAGTATTGGTATTGTAGCGGTATTGTAGTTCCTTTTTGACTATTGTATTGTCAGTATCAGTATTGCAGCCCTAATAAGTTACTGCTCAACTCTCCTGGCAGTATTGTGTATGGTGTTACTTTACCGAGTATCGTATTGCACCCCAAGTATAATACCGAGATGGGCCCAGGGAAGGATCAAGTATACAATCATTAGTATTTTTGTGTCTGGAAGTGCAACATTACAATACAGTATCAGTACATGATCAGTATAGTGACAAGATACACTATTAGGTAGTGGGGGGCACAGTATTGCCAGTGCACTTCTTTACTGAGTATTGTATTGTGGCTACAGGTACATTACTGAGGCTTGGATTTCATAGTATTGTAGACCCGTGAATTTACTGAGCATTGTCAATACAATACCAGTATTGTATTTCTGGCAGTGTTGAAGACATGGACAAAAAATTTCATCAAGTCAAAATGTAGGAGGCTAATTCTGGATGTCTTCCGGGACACATTTCTGTAGTTTTGAATACTCCTAATGAGGGTGTTTTTGATAATAGATCAGAATGAGACCTGAAGTACCTCACAGGCTGTAGGCTTATAGCCTGTTCAGGGACTTACTCTGAATAAGTGTTTCTTGGTATGAATTATGTCTAATTTAGTGAGGGGAAACTAGGACATAAGGGGAACAGGACACAAGATAAAGCCTTCAAAAATTTGTTCACACAATCAAACATCCTCCTTCCTTCAGTCAGAGGATAGAGTCAAACATTAACTCAAGACTTGCACCATTTGGGTATTTATGTGGCCATCCAAATTATTTTGTCGGTGTGCCTACATACAAGTGCGTGGACTTGTATGATTTATGTCCCTGTATTTCTGGCAAGACTTAGGTAGAGAAGTCTGAGGCATTCACAGCCCCCAATGTATCCAAAATGCTTTCAACAAAACTTCAATATGTTTTCAGAATGATATCCATCTGCTATCAAGCTGTTTTGGTTCAGTTGCCATCAAGATGTGTGATACAACCAAAATTGAGATGATGTGATACAGCATCATAAATCTGTACTAAACTGCTTCTGTATTTCATCAACAAGAATATATAGTTTATTAACCTTTGTGAGGTAAATTGACTGAGTTATTGAGCTTTAAAAAAAGCCAGGAAAAAAGTAACATTTTTGTACTATACCTCAGAATTGATTCTAGAATATCTTCCAGCTTTGTCAATATACACACACAAAAAATTGATATTCCTTTTGAAAATATGTTTCTCCACATTTCCCCCCTAAAGCTTCCTGTAGGGGCAGTATTTCTACATGTAATTCCTGAACGTGTCTGCAAGTTTGATTTTTTGAAGTTCTTTGCCAAATTTTCAGGGAACATATTGCCAGAATCACTCTGAATTTGATCCATATACATGTAAATGGTCTTGTACAAAACTTTCTGTCATAAACGTCCCCATATTCTGCCTAGAATCAATGAATCAATGAAAAATTTGACTGCTCATGTAAGGGTCACAATTACATATAGAAATACTGCCCATACAGGAAGGCTTTAGGGGGCAAAAATGTGGAGAAACATATTCTCAAAACAAATATCAATTCTTTTGAAGATATTCCAGAATCAATTTTTAGGCATAGTACAGAAATAGTAGTTTTTGTCCAATCTGAGAGAAAGACTGGCATTAAATTGCCCAAACATTGTGGCTGGATTGCTTGCAAAATACACTGTCATCTTCCTGCCAAAAGTGTGTGCCTTGGAATGCAAGCTGCTTGACAAATGAGGAGAAATTGAAGGGCTGCACTGGACTTTTCATTACATCAACAATGCACTGCGCTTGTATTGAATTGCAGGACCAAACTGTGTGGAAGCAGATGGGAGTGGCAGCTATGGCCCAAGTTTTGCAGACCAATCACAAGCAAAGTCATTCAGTGGTCCACCATTGTGAAAGGAGCGGCTCATAGGCAATGTTGATAGTCCATCCTGCAGGTGCAAGCATGTAGTCAGTAAGTAGTGTATCAAACAAAAATTTCCAGGATCTGAGACACGATTTTGATTGGCAGCAAGCCATGTTTGGATGAGGACATCTGGCTATCTAGGCTATTTGTATGGCTAATAGTTTATCTTTGCTGTGAGCGTCATGGAGTTGTAAGTTATAAAGATCTTGATGAGATCATGGAATCCAAATCATGCAAAAAAATGAACTTCACTGGAGCCTTAGCAGTGAAGGATTCTCATGGAGAGGTCAAGTTGTATTGAAGATTTTGACTATGTACAGCCGTTTCAAGAAATATTGACAACTTTTTTGGAGAAAGTCGTCTGCACAGCGGGTAAAATCAAAGAAAACACTTGATTACAGGTTTATTCTTTTCTGTATTCTTCCAATTAGCGGAGGGACAAAATCAAGTGAAGGACAAAACTTGGGTTTTAGATTTTCAAAAAAAAAAAATCTCTGTCAAAACAGCTGTACATCAAACCTGAACAAACCTGAACAAATTTTTGAACAAAGGAAAATCATTGGAAGCTGATTCTGATGTATGCAGTAAACTTATCAAATATGCCCAAGTAGTTGAGGGAGGTACTTAAGGCTAATGTCAGGTTTTCATACTCACAACAGCAAGATTTTTGGTCATTTTTTTTTGTTTTTGCCCATTATGAGGGTCACAGACCTCATCAAATCTTGCTTCCTTTGGCAAGGATCTTCATTTGCACCTTGTACATGTCCTCGTGTGTTTTTTAGTACCCATTATATTGATTGAGCCCACTCAGAAGCGTTGTAAAAAGTGTTAGCTGAAACACCAAAGTTGATACAGGACCACTAAAGCGTGCTGTTCTGCCCAAAAACACGGTGTCCAAGCATCCCAATAGCATCAAATCTATCCACATTGAAGATCTGAAACCAAGACCAGGAGACGCACAATATGTCAAGGAAGCTCTGTGCGGTTGGATGTAAGATTCTATGATGTTTGGAACCCTCAAAGTGGCCAAAAACAGAAAAGTGGCCAAAAATCTTGCTGTTGTGAGTATGAAAACCTGACATTAGCCGTAATTCTCTCCCTTGTCACACTGGGGGCACGGCCTTTTTTTAGAAGGCGCGCCTACACGCCTTTTCTTGGATCAAAACCGTGCCTAGGCGCCACTGACGCGCCGGGCATGATTTTTTAAAGCAAAAATTGAGCCAAACTCGAGAAAGGCTTGTCTTTTGAAAAATTCAGATCTTGAAATGCTTTAATAAACAAAAAAGCAAGATGGCGGAAGAAATACTACTAGTCAAAATTGACATCTTTGGGGTTCCAAGCTCCAGGTGCACCAATCACAGGTGCACTGTGTGTCTTCTGAACGTTTGGCATATTGCTGACCGGATAAAAAGATGACCTGGTTGTTGAATACAGATCTGTATATACATGAATTCAGAATGATCCTTGAACCTGGGGGCATATCTGATGGTAGAATCAAACCTAACAGAGCCCCCTTGCCATGTTTGTTAGGTTTGGATACCCATACCCAATTTGGGCGCGCCGACCAATTTTTCAAGTTGTTTGGGCGCGTCTCGCGCCTCGCGCCCAGGCGCGTTGTTTGGCGTGTTTTTTTTCTGCACCCCCAGTGTCCCAACTACTCGGGCGGGGCCCCGGGGGGACTTTGACAAGTTTATGTATGCGGGGACGCGTTGGGCGCCGCAGGTAGCTATTTAAGTTAAACTGCCGCACGACGGGCTCGGTACCTTAAGTTAAGTTCAGGCGGGCACTCGAGGCGAAAGGAATCGCCGATCACTTTCAAGATTGCTTTAAGTTTAACAATCATCACATCAAACTATGACACGTTTACTTCAATTCAGGGTTAGTAGTCTCTTTCATTCTCAACCAAGTACAATCATTAACACTGCACTTGAATTGGTCGCATACAGGCTGGTCGCTGCGAAAGGCGTGGTTCAACCAATATCGTCGACCCGTTACCCACAAAAGGGTGAGTTTAGTCAAGTGATCTATCTACCTTCTAGAGGATTTTGACTTCCCTTCATGAACAATGATCCTATTCGGCCTGGCATAGTTTATTGTACGTCGAGAGCCGTCCAGAGGATGGTGACCTTCATCACCGTAAGCAAACAACACTGCTTCATTACACGATTCATCGAGTTCCAGCGAGCTGACTTCACATATCACCAACAAACAAGTGTGCTACAAAGATCTCGAATCAGGTGCAATTGTTGACGACTTCATCCTCTTTTCTGGTTTGTCATTTGTTTCCACGATACTTACGTCATCAAACTTCTCGCTGATTAATTCTTTTGATGGTTCATCACACATATAGGCGACGCGACTTTCAAGAAAGTCTTGGTACCCAACTCTGCCACCGCTCGAGTTTATGCACTTGGTTTCTCATCCTCAAATCAAAGAGTACTCTACTGGATGCAGGACGTGGATTCAAGCTCGGATGTATCCAACGTCAGGCGATTGAATGAGTTCATAGACGGTCCAGCTGATGATGATGAGGCTATGCCGATCGATGTGTGAGAGACCTTGCCTACTACGCAAAATCTTTTCTTCTCTTTCTCTGGCTCTTTTTGTATGAAATCTGCTTGAAGATCGAGGTCATCCAATTGTTAGTCGCTCCGAAACGTCAGCTTCAAAACTTCTCTTGTCTTTCTGTAGGCTATCGCATGCAAATTCAAAGCCGCTTGGAGGTTACTGTATCATCTTGGTGTTTACTGAACCGTCGTCACAAAAGAGCCAGAGAGGAGAGAGTATCCTTCAATACGAGCCTCGCTGCCTGGGTCGTTTGAGCCGTCACGTCCGCTGTCTGAATCCGGTGTGGATGAAGAAGGGTTTCGGCAACCGTGAAACAACACGCCGGTTGTTCTGAAATCTGCCAACGGCGGATTCATCCATATCATCCCAAGTCTCGAATTGACTAGGCTTGGTCTTGCCCGTATAGCATCCTTCAATCTTACCTCAACATGTCATCCACGCCATCCTTATGATAATTCTGCTGGGCCCTCGTAATGACCTACTTTGGTTTCCTTGTCACAGCTCGAACCAATCTCCTCCAATCACCTTACCTCCACATAGTTCGATTCAAGAGACGCAACAGCCAGCTATCCCGAATGTGACCGCTGAACAAATGAATCAATTCAACGATCTTTTGGCTGCATTCAGCGCTACAGGCCAACAATCTCGCCGACCGCGTGCGCACTGATTTTCTTTTGATCAAGACACATTTTATTTATCCTGATTACCTGATTTTTCATCTACAGCCTATGCTCTCACAGATATCTTGACCCTTGATGCTATCGGTCCTTTACTTGAATCGGATCCAGATCTTTTGATGTCACAACTCGCTCCTCATCTTCCACCTGATATTGAAGCTACAGCCGCCAATGTTAAGCAGATCGTCAATTCCGCCGATTTTAGGAACGGAGTTCGGACTTTGGATGTAGCTTTACAAAAGAATTTGGGTGATGGATTAAAGATGTTCTTCCTCCATGGTTTGGGATTAGAATCTGGCTATGAGGGTGTGGAAGAGTATATAGAGGCTGTGAAAAGGAGGGCAGAAAGAGATTGAATATACTGATGGGCAGCTGCAACCTTTGCAACTCAATATAGCAATGTGACCTCTTGAAGATTTATGCTTATGAAAATTCAAGTTCTTGCCCTCCATGATTGACAGATGTCCCAGCTTGAACATACAGTGTTGTGTGCAAGATAACTACACTCTGCTCTAGAGTTGTCAAAAAAGGGAAATAGCAAGTAGTGGTATTTTGAAGTTTGTTAGACTGTAAACGTAGAAGGGACTGCCACAAGTTTAAAGTTTCTCAAGTTATTGAACCCCTTCACACTACACCAAATGTCATCTTTACCGGGCGGTAAAGAAAACTACTGACATAGAAAAGTCCTGAGGCAACAGGAAGAGAGCTAAAAATCTGAAAAAATATGCACCTTGTTCCTAGATGTTGGGGCGTCATGATGAGTATTTTTTTGTATTTTACACGCAGATATTGGTTTATGTACTAACAATAAACGCTGAAAATCATCAAAAACTCACATGTAACAATACCTGAAATTTGGGTCATGAGTATGAAGACAATATTTTGTGGTCTAAAAACTTCAATAACTTTTGCAATTCTGCTCCAAATAACTCGATTTTTGGTTCATTCAAAAGCTGAACTATTCTCCTTCACACTTCATAATATTAGTAAGGTGCTATCTAGTCATTTAAACACTCTACATATGTTCAAACAGTTCTGCATGAATAGCTCTGTAGGATCTTTTTTAGACCAGCTACAGATGTGATGTCTCAATGAAAAATGTAGAGGAAAGGCTCACCTTTTTAATGCACTTCAAATCGAGTGATTTGATTCAGAACTGCAAAAGTTATTGATGTTTGAAGATTCCAAAATCCTGTCTTCAAAGTCAAGGGCCAAATTTCAGGTATTGTTACAGGTGGGTTTTTGATGATTCTCAGCCTTTATTGTTAGTACATTAACCAGTATCTGTGTGTAAAATACAAAAAAATACTCGTCATGACGCCCCAACATCTAGGAACAAGGTGCATATTTTTTCAGATTTTTAGCTCTCTTCCTGTTGCCTCAGGACTTTTCTATGTCAGTAGTTTTCTTTACCGCCCGGTAAAGATGACATTTTGTGTAGTGTCAATAACTTGAGCAATACTTCTAGGATCACTTCCTGACAAGAATAAATGTTGGAGTCATGTATGTGCTCTCTAAGGGCGTGTTCACTTAAGGAAATTCTGACCAGAAATCACATTGTGTGAATTTTTTAATCCAAAAAAGAAACATGCCCCACCAAATAGACACTTTAAATTGGATTTTACTAAAGGCAGCCCCCCCTTGTGAGGCTTGACCGCCCCCTTTAGCCAGGGGAAAGAAAAATATACTGTATGATGCAAACATGGGATGGGAAGGGGGCGGTCCAGAACAGGACCCAGGAATGCGCCTATAGAGGTATCTGACAAAACCTGTTTTTCAGTTTTTGGGCTCTACACAACACACCCCTCTTTGCCTCAAGTTCAAGAGCAATTCAAAAGATGCGCATAGAGTAGGGCTATCAAACAAGCCTACTCCGAGGCTCTCAACTTGGCTCACTTGGGCGCAAAATTGATTGGTGCAAAATCTTTCCGTGCCTCCAAGGCCTGGTTCCGACGTTTGATTTTAAAGCTGCTTTTGACCGTTACATCCAAATAAATCAGGAATTATAGGTGCTATGATGTTGAAAGCTATCTTAAACAAAAGCCTTCGATCTGTTGGAATACGTAGAATTACTTCATGAGAATCTCTTTTGTATTCCTAATGACATATGTCAATGTTGTGCTTTCCATCTGTTTCTGCTTCCTTTCTCAGTCTTTATTTCATATTCTATCATTCAACAAAGCCTGTCTAGTGATTACATAACTATTACATACTAGTTACATAACACTGTTTTGTATATAAGCAACCTGGAGCTGCACTAGGAAAAGGTTCTCTTTTCTTCACCCTTTCCAATTGCTTTACGTGCACTCCAGGTATGTTTCTCTTCTTCTTTTATTAGTTCTCATACTCAGTTGCTTTACATGCGCTCCAGTTGACTGCAACAGGTTATGAGACCCATTCTCTACCAATTGCGTTGAAACTCTATCGATTATTTTCTTTTCAGACTCTATCAATTTTTTTTTCTCTGCTTTCAACTCAACTTGCGCCATCTAAGGGTCCTGTACTGCTTCAGAAGCTCATACAGTAACACTACTCCTCATAAGAACAAACTCTACCTCTCTTTTGTTGTTAACTAGATACTATTAAAAGTTCCCCACAAACTGGATCTTCCGATCTTATACACTACTACAGTCTATCCGCCATCTTCTTTGGACATCTATCCTCCTCACTACATATCCTTTGCTGCTTCTCCTGCTTCTACTTGTTTCTACTGGTCTCGTTTCACTATGGACTCCACTAGCGGTGTGGAAGATTGTTCCAACCGTATGTTGGGCATTACTGCTCTAAAGGCTCCTGGGGAAAACTCGAACTGCTTGGACTGGGAGTTTGCGGTTGAGCTATATCTCATAGACGCAAAACTTACTCATGTCATCAAGACCATTGATATCAAAGATTGACCATCATTGTGGGATGCAGACAATGCTCGTGTCTGTACACTAATCAGTCGTGCCGTCAAGGACATCAATTAACAATACATCAAACCGCATCGGCATGATGCTTCGTCCATGTGGAAGGCTCTTCGTCTTGCTCATGAGGATTCAACTTCCGGAGGACAAATGCTAGTTCACAACTCTCTAATCACCACAAAGATGTGCAGTAATTACTTACATTCACATTTTCAATTGACGAATAAGTTATTCAAACACTTATCTTCCCTTATCACTGAGGATAGTCCTCTTACAGCGGACAATATCTTCTCCACATCTCTCATAAACTCTCTTCTGGATGACTGGGCCCATGTTGTCACTCCTCTCATGCAACAGAAGGATTTTCAATCTTCATTGGTTGTCCGTGCTCTCAAGAATGAGCAAATTCAAAGACAGTCATGTGGCTATCAATTGACTACCGCCTTGAAGTCTGTTGTCGCCAACAGGAAACCATCTTACCAAAAGACTTCATCTAGCTCCTATGATTGAGATTGTCAATACGCTGATTGCCGTGGAAAGAATACCAAGCTCTGCTCCTTCTGTAAGCAAACGAACCACGATGTTGATCACTGCTGGGCACTTGATAAAATCATTGCGGAACGTAACTCATCTTCCTCCAGGGCAAAATACGACTTGAACTCCCGTACTCCTTCCTCAAGGGCAGGCAAGACTTCCATTGTCCCTCTTGATTTCTCCGACTCTGAAGATGAATCAGATGGTGGTCAAACAGTTGTAGCAAAATTTGCCTGGTTGATGTAGCCAGAGTCTCTTGTATTCACAAATGGAATATCGACTCCGGCTGCTCTTCCACTATGACTCCTCACTCTTCTTCTCTTGCTCGTCTTTCTCTGTCAACTCGGTCAATTCATCTAGTCCTAGGTGTTTGTAGTAAACCTCACTGTGTTCTCTTTGCGATTGGTTTGTTTTTTCAAAGGCTGTTTCCATCATTATTTGGTGCTCCGCTAGTACACTAGCTATTGGGTGTGGCTGATTGTTTCCTTCACATTGAAGAATCATATATTTGACGTTGTCAAAATTGACAACCATTTTGTCATTAATCATTTGTAGACTAACAGCTAATCTTTTGTTGATTTGAGCAATTGCTTCTTCCAGTTTTGATTCAATACTGGATTGCATGGTTTTCAAGTTTTTGACTACTTGATTACCTGTCCCTGAAAATGATATATGGGATTTTGGTGACGTGTTATCGCTATCTATCTTCAGCGCTTGAGACTTGGTACCTAAACTCATCTCTTTGTCCAGAGGTAATGGGCTAACCTTTGTTGGTTTGTTTCCGACTGGTCCTGCTAATATAAAGGGTGAAATTTCATTCCCTGTTTCTCCTAATATTTCGTCAATGCTTTTGGTCATCTTAATTGTGCTTCTCAGCACATCAGGGGTTTTCTCCCTGCTGGTCTTTCCTACATCTTCTTGATGATGTGTAATACTATTCTCCGGTACTGTGCTTTTCTGCACTGTGTCACTTAGTGTGTATGTGAAGATGTTTTTATTCATTGCTAAAAAGCTAGGCACTCTGGTTGTTTGATTAGGTGGATTCAACATACTTTCTGAAGGTAGTTTCTCAGGATGTATGTTATTGCTCGCGGGATCAGGGGCACTAACAGTTCAATGATCAAACTGCTTAATACTTGGTTTGGTCACATGGTTTGGATTTACGTTGCAAGTTACGGGTGTAGGAGTCATAATAGGACAAGAACTGTGGGTCGTTACATTTTGTCCGTACAAGATGCAAGTAGAATTCAAAAAAGGACTTGGGGTAGTATCAAAACAAACATTTACGCTTCAGGCGGTGGTTGTTGGTGGTTCTTGTTGAACTTCGCTGACATCTTGCCTTTCTTCTTGTTCTGGGATTTGTTGATCCCTTTCACAGCTTGGTAGTAAGCTCTGCTGAATGCCAACATCTGTTGCATGTTGTTGGATTCTTCTTCCACGTGGGCTGGCTTCTCGTACAGCTGAGCTTGTTTCTTCTGATGGTTTGTTTGGCTGGGTCCTGATGACGAAGTCGACTGGGACGGTTCCTCTGGGAGGTTTGTCTTTTGCGCTTGAATCGGGTTCTTTCCTATAAACCTGCTGTTCGTTCTTGCGCGGAGCTTTGTCTCTTCGGTGTAAGGATTCCACCCTAGTGATCTCTTCAGTACTTCTTCCTTGCCCAAGAGGATTGTCAATGAATTGTGACTGTTCTTCCACAAGCTGGGATAAGGCGTGACCGCTCTGGTATTGTTTGGGTTCAATTCTTGCGCTTTTTGCCAGTTGCATAAGTTGTTTTTGTGCAGGGTCATCAAGAGTCTCTCCTTGTCTGCCGTTATGGTCGGTGGTAACGGATCTAATGCTTGATCTTCTTGCATTAGGTCTTGCTGAGGCTGGTCCGACGGAGTTAGCTCTTCTGGTTGCATCAGAGTACGTTGGCTTTCCGAGTTTTTCTTCAAGTGCTCTAACCCTGTCTGATTTCCTGGGAGGCATGACAATAATTGTTGCAATATTAGTCTCAGTAGCTTTCAAGAGATTCACTAAGTTTCGCTTGGACAGCCCCAATGAAGATTTATGCAAGCAAAGAAGGTAGAAGGGATTTCTCGTGATTTACCAACTGGATGTATAATTGTAGACGTCAAAGTCACAGGGATAGTTGTTTTCTCTGTAATTGATTTGTTGGTCTGCGGTAACTGTGGTGCCGCGTTGTTTGCTCCTTGAGGCTTGTGAGTTTGGCTCAGCTGTTCCTCTTGAATTGTTTGGGTTTGGGTGTTGGATTCACTACGTCGGTATGATTGATATGCTCAATACTTACTCATCCAAAAAATTTCTAAGAAGTGGTACTTACTGTTTCTTAGCTTCAATTTCTAGGTTGATAACTTTTGTTAAGAGCTGTTTGATTCTTACAGAGATTTCTAGGATGTTGTTTTTTAAGACGGCTAGTTCTTTTGAAGAAGGAATTTTTGGATTTTTATGAAGAATAAGAGAAAAAAAGATATATGTTTTTCAATTTTTATTTTTATAGTAAGTATTATTTCTTTGTGGACCAAAGAAAGATGAGAGCAGCGGAAAAAAAAAGAAAACTTGTCAGTCTTTTCCATGGTATTGGGTTTCTTAACACACGATGAGGCCCCCAATTGTCAGGGCGGCTACTAGTTTAAGAGGTAAATAGGTTCTTACTTCTCTAAAAGTAATCCTGACAAAGATCCGCCTGGATACGTAGGATCTGGAAATGCTGGTTATTTTAACTAAAGGTGCGAAAGGAAGAATTCCTTAAGTAGAATTTCTTTTAAACAGACCAATAGATGTGCTTACCACGGCCTACTGTTAGTTGACAGTTGAAAAAAAAAGCTGGGCTAGGCTAGGCCGGGGTTGGGGTTTTCAAGAACCTTGAAGGTTTTCCGAAATGCCTGCGTAAAACAACAGGGATCTAGTCAATCTATACAATGCTAGAACAGAGGTTGTTAGACCAAGTTAAAACTACTAACCTAGAGGTTAGAGTAGCTCACCTAAGGAGAATGAATAAAAGAGCAGATTCCTATAGCGTTCAAATCTTAGGATTTCTAGAGGTGAGGAAAGATGAGGTGGAGATGTTTGATAACAGTGAGATTGAAGTAGCGAGGCTGATAGGCTTCTAAAGGTAGAAAGGTATAAGCCGGACTAACTGAGAGGATATCTTATTCCTGTGGGAATATTGGTTATCTAAAAATTGTCTGCCCCTTCTCCTTGGAGGCATAATCAAGTCCCTTTTATACTTGGTTCGAAGGGATGGCTGGTTCGTGGTTCCTGTTAGGTTTGTCCTTGGTTCCTTGCTTCAAGGATGTCTTTTGAGGTTCTAGTATTAGTGGCTGAGACTGGACTTGTTCTGTTTGTGGAGTCTTTGAGATGGGTCCGTTGTCTTGTTGCAATCAACTAGAGCGCACGAGATGGAATTTGGAAAGGGTGAGGATCAAATTCCATAAGAACAACAGAGACAGCAGAAACAACAAGAAAAAGAGAGAGACCTACCTAGAGCGCACGAGATGGAATTTGGAAAGGGTGAGGAGAGAACCCTTTCCTGGTGTGGCTCTAGGCAGAATATATACAAGGTTTGATACGTAATCATTATGTAACAGAACGATGAGAAAAAGAAACAAATCTACAGTAGTAGATAACTGATCAAATGATCGGTGAGAGGAAGAACAAACGAGAACAATGGATCGGGTGAGATGATGGATGGTAAGCAGACCAAAGATGTGTACTCTATGGAATCTAATGATGGTAACAATGTAATCGTCATGAGAATTCCAACATGTCTTCCTTCTGTTTTGGGAGAAGTTAGGCCTATTCACCTTCTGATTTGATTTGTTTCTAGGAGGCTCTGTTTATTAGTACTTACCGCGTGTGGTTCCTTGTTGAATTGTTTACTCGATTGGGAGTGTTGAACTCCCCTTAGTGTTTGTTTATATTTTATTTGGCTTTTTGGCAGTTTCGCTGACATGGGTATGGAGTCTTTGAAATTAGACACAAGGTGATATTGGTACTCAAACCTTTTGGTTTGAGATTTGGAGTCTTTGAAACTAGACACAAGGTGATATTGGTACTTGAACTTTTGGTTCAAAACTTGGAGTCTTTGAAACTAGACACAAGGTGATATTGGTACTTGAACTTTTGGTTCAAAACTTGGAGTCTTTGAAACTAGACAACAATTTGATTAATTTTTTTGTATATTTATTAATAAAATATGGGGAGGTGGAATTTTACACCAACCCCTTTACACCAACTTCCCCTGTGTAAAATAGGGCCGGTGTAAAATTCGAAATTGGTGGCCCTTTTTCGAATTTTACACATGAAAAAAAAAAAAAACGTCAGTGCAAAAAAAGCCGGTGTAACATTGTCGGTGTAAAAGTACGGAACCCCGCCTCAACATCGAATTTTACACCGGAAGTTTTACACAGAGGCGTCCGGTGTAAAAAATTCCTGCGTAAAAGTCCAACTTTTCCGTGGAAAGGTTGAATTTTACACCGGCGTCATTTTACACCGAGACATCCTGTGTAAAGACGCCTAGTGTAAAATTGAATTTCAACGCACGTAAGGTGCAGTTTTACACCGCCCCCAAGAAAAATTACACCGACATTCCCACACAAGACCAAAGTGACCAAAAAAGACATTATTAATATCATTCAATGAATGATATTAATTGTCTCAATTTCAATATCATATCGAGCAAACACATGTATAGTAGCATTAGACCAAATCGTGTTTAAGGGGGAAATGAAAAATAAATTTGACTGCATCACACCCGTCGCTGTCGTGTCACTCTAGTTTTCCCCTCAGACACTTCTGATACAACCAGATCAGGCTCGTGGGCCTTGCCGGCCTCATCTTCAACCACCACCCACCCTTTCCAATTGGGTTTCTTAGGTGCCACTTTGACACACGCCGGTGATTTGACTTCGGCAACCGGGACCTGACACTGTTTTTGCATGACTGAAAAAAGCAAGGGATCAGCGGCAAATATATCTCAAGGGCTTGTATATACGTACCAGGTTTTTTCTTTGGAGAGGCCTCTGCCTTCGTTGTAACAGTTGATTCCCCTTTGCCTTTTGTCTGAGTTTTTTTGCGTGTGACTATCGTCAATTTCCATTCAAATAGAAGAGAAATATTAATATTGAATCTTTGAGAAATAACATCGTGGACCTACCCGTATTGGTATCCATCGCAGCCTTTGGCTGGCGTTTTTTGTGCGTTTTAACTAACATGAAAATATAACAATGTCAGTATACGAAATGAAAGACACATTACAGGTAGAATACCTACCCGCTTTGGACTCTGCTTTGTCACTTGACTCAGCACAGTCATCTTCAACCTTCACACCTATATCTTCATGAGGCTCTTCCACAAGTTCAGGCAGGCCTCCTCCAAAAGGAAACCTCGAAGTTGGCATTGAGTAAGGAATCTTCATGTGATTATCCGGGAAGAGCCTCATCAGCTCTCGAATTGCTTTGGCCGTATGGGCTGTTTCTTCTCCGTGCGGCATCCGCGTGTAGAACAACCAGCTGGTGTTTTCAGAACAACCACCTATGGTGGTTACATCCGTGCCTTCAAGCTGAGCTATGCCGCCATTGACACGCTTGTCAAAGTGCCAAACTCCTAAGATACCTTCCACCGCGCGCACAATCCGGCACCAGTAATGGGAATGTGCCCAGTAACCACGGGAGACCAGCACATAATCCACATCACCAATCAAGATTCGGGATGGCCAGTCGGTCTCGCCCTGGTAGCGCCTACGCTCGTCAGGTTGCATACCCATGATGCCATCTAATAAAAAATATAGATGTAAAGGCGCCGTTGAAGAGTCGGTGATTTCGATCCTGAAATTGTTTCGAACATACGAGGGGTTTCCTTTCACCTCCTTGGTGTCTGGGTGACAAGCCCGGCAGAGTATTCCCTCTGAGGTGAGTCCTTCAGACATCCACAAGGAGATTAATTCGGTGACATCCGCATACGAGATTGAGGCCTTCTCAAACGACGAAGGCAACAAATGCAGTGTTGCTCGACGTTGACGAAGAACACTACCGTGTCCTGGGCCACGTTGGCAAGATACAGTCTTGATCCATGTGTGTTCAAAGAAGGGTCGTAGACTAGATTTCGAATCTTCATTCTCGGCTAGTAGTAGCTCCATGAAACCGTCGGCAGATGCAAAATTGTCGGAGGTGTACTATGTGGATTTGGCCTGAACGGCCTCGTGCAGCAGAGTCTGCCATCAAGCCATGCTTTGGCCAAAGGGAGCCCCAGTTATTTCGAGGTGGCAACGGGCGGTGAAATGACGAGCGAGAGTGTTGACCAGATTGGTGCAGTTAACCGTGAGGAATCGACTCCAGGCCGGCCCAAAGAGGGCATAGAGGGTCTCCAGAGTCGCTGTTTGCCAACACCGATTCTTCGTTCCCTTCGTAGTGCTGGCCTTATAAGACTGATAAGTCGTCAGAAGAGCGCGGTTGATGTTCTGCGAGCCAACGGGGCGTCCAAGTTTCGCCGGCTTGTTACCCTTCTTGGGTTTGATGTCCAAAAGCTGTTCGGTTGTGTCAGGTGCACGGCCGTCGTTCCGAGTGAACTTGCGTTTTGTAGGAGGTGCCATTCCTATGGCCTTCACAACTTCTTCCCAGGTATTTTGCGAAAAACCTCCGTATGCAATTGAAATGCCCTTCTGGGCCTGTTGATAATCCTTCTCCAAACACTGCGCAAACGCTATGAGTTGGATTATCCCAGGTATAACCGTGCATTTGCCCTTGCTAATGTCACACAATTGCAATTCGTCAGTAACCATATATATGAAAGATATAAAAATAAAAGATTGAGACGTTGAATCATAATCTTACCATAAGATGTAATAGACTCGATGCATTGATTCTTGTGCATTCGTAGTTGAAGGCAAGTCAGGTCGGCGTCGAGGTCCTCGGCGTCGAGGTTCCAGCTCGTCGTACTCTTTGTCTTCACTGTCCTCCCCTGGCAAGGGAGGATCATCTTGTGGCATCCGCTTGCGTGCGGGAAAAAGCATTGCTTGAATGTCGGATGTTGCCCACCATTCTAGCCACCTTTTCGCTAGAGGGAACATCCGACGTAGCTCCTCAAATCGCGTGTCGAGATCATCAACTCCCGGGCCATCAGGTTGAAGTAATGCTTTGCATTTCTTCTCCCAAGTTCCCTATTGTTAGCAAAGAAAGAAGTTTATTAGTAAAGACATCTTTGCTAAGATGAAATAAACAACCATGCTCACCTTAGACTGTGGCTTGACTATCTTGCTATTCTTCTTAAGTCGAGTGACAGCCTGGAGGAAGTGCCACTCGCACCCATGAAGCTTAGACAGTGCCACGTTCTTATCGTGGCAGTGAAAGACTTCCATGTAGGCCTCGACAAATCCCGCTTTCTGAGCTGTTGAAAAGTTGACAACTTGCTCAACCATCATGCCTGTGTTCTTATCCGACATATTGGTTTTCTGAATCTGCTGAAGTAAAACAGTAAAATGTATTTTGTAATGTTCGGTTGAAAGCCCTCCAAGCCAAGTGAATAAGACCGGTACCCAGCGCTTGATAGGTTCACAGTACTTCGAGGTCGTCAACAAGTAGCCCATTTTGAAAAATCAATAAGTTACGTCTGATAAAAGACCGCCGGTATACATGTCGGATTTCTCATCGGGTTCGACTAAGACCTTGGCCATCCATTCAGTTTGGAAGGAGATATGAGCGTTGTCCCCCGCAATCGACGAGGAGGGGACTATTAGGCCTTTCCTGGTAGAGTGAAATCAAGATATCAGCATATATAATATATAGATTGAGACCAGAGAGGACGGAAATGCATTTACCTAGACCAGTCCATCATGGTTTGGAGCCACTTGTCTCCTGCTTCAGGGTCTCGAGTGTTCGTCATTATACCCGCCTTCTCTAGAAAGTCACGTCGCAGGTATCCTAAGCGATCGGTATGTCCAAAGGAAGGGTGAATATCCAACACAGTTTGAATAGGCTCTGTACCCGAATGCACCTGTCCAACCTGATGACAAGTTGGTTTGACGTTAGTTAGAATGCTTGATAATAATGATTCAGAGTTAGTCGAGTTCACGTACCTTTAAGCCTAAAGGTCCAGTTTTGATGTCACTGAGGACTTTCTCCTTCAACTTGGCTTTCGAAATCGGGTCAGCCTTCTTGGATTCAGGCCACTGATGGTGATGAGTGCCCTGATGACGGAGTATTCCCCACTGCTCCTGTCCTAAGTCGTCTAACTCGACGTCAATTCGACACACGGCGTTACAATCGGTGTGTATTTGATAGCCGTCGCAAGAAGAGACCGGGCAAGGAATTAACCTGTCCAGGTTAATTCAAGTGGGTCAGCAGACTGAATTTGACAGGTAAGAGGGGGTAGACTCACCCGTCTACAACTTCGGCAATTTTTTTTTTGCCTGTTGGTGGAGAGCCGGCAAAGGGACACTCGTCCTCTGAACATTTCATGACGCCTAGGCAGTAATATCTTCTGGTGATCCAATCTTTCTTCTTCGTAGTCTCGGTCCTCATGGTGTGAGTCCAAGCGATAAATCGAAAATTAGAGGCTGGACGCTCAGGGTCGTTGACGTATACAGTGGCACCATTTGGATATGTTGGATAGTCTTCTTCATCGACTTCGCAACCATGGTCGATAAATGTTCGGTAAGTATCTTTATTATTGGTGGGTAGCTGGAGATTTGGGCGGCGTGGCAGTCCTTTCTCAGTTACAACATTGTCATCTTTGTCTTTGAAAGATAGCGCAGAAAGGTTCTTTTGCATTTTGGCCAAAGGCGATGAACGAGAAGGTGAAGTAGAAGGGGTTGAGGTAGTAAAAGTAGTAAAAGGAGTTGAAGGATGTGTACGAAAAGTTTGGCGAACAGGCGATGAGAAATTTTGTTCATCTTCTTGTGCTTCATGCTCTAATGACTCTGGAATCAGGCCAACTGAAGGGCTTGATTGGCTGGATGTCCAATCAATTCAAATGGACG